CGCGGTGTCTGTGAGATAGGAACATTTTATAAGACCACTAATAATAATAATAATAATGTTTGCAGGGCATATTTTTTACATAATACTTATAATTGCAATGTAACCTTTGTGTGTTTTTTTCCAGATGTGCTGCTTGTATCCTGAAAACAGCAAGGTGAAACTAAATGCGGCAACGCATCTGTTGATGTCCTCCACCACGATTCAGGCATCTGAGGCCCGGCAAGTGCTTGAACAACAGCATGATGTGGATTTGCTTCCCAGGGATATTTACAATATTAAGTCAAGAATAAATAAATCATCTTCTGATGCAACTGAAACTCAATCTATAGGCCTACTTCATTCTATATCACAAGCTGGTGGAAGTGTGACCTATGGACTAACAGAAAGTGGGGAATTTAAGTATTTATCATACATGACTCATGATATGATTAGAATTATTGCCCAATATCCAGAGGTTTTATTAATGGATTTCACATATAAAACCAATAAATATTTATATCCACTTTTGACTGTAATGGTATTTGATGGAGAGGGCAGGGGCATTCCTGTTCTTCATGGTTTTGTAAAAAATGAAGATAAGGAATCTATTTCTCTTTGTTTGCAGCTTCTTCTGAAGAATTCTGATGCCAGTCTTTTCAAGTGCTTTGTGGTTGACAAAGAAATTGCTGAAATCTCTGCTATAAATTATCTGTTTCCAAATTTACCTGTTAATCTATGTCATTTTCACATTAACCAGGCTGTGCACAGGTTTCTTTCGAAACATGTAGGTCCTGAGTATGTTAAGCCAATTCTTGAAGGATTTATGTCTCAAGTTTATACTGAGTCCTACGATAATGTTTAAAATTTTTAAATATGTCTAGAAAATTCTTATCTTTTGTGAATGTGTGAATATGCCTTGCTGAAACTAGTTTGTAAAATATTTTTTTTTATATTTATTTTTTCACCTTTGCCTGATAATTTCACATTGAAATGCTTTAAATTTCATTTTATTTGACTCCTATATTTCTAATATTGCTTAATTGAATTTTTTTCAATTTTTAAGTGGTCCTCTTAGTATTTCCATTAATTTATCTCTGACATCAAATGTATAATAATGTATAATGAGGAAAAGTATTATTACCACATGCTTCAAATTTTCAAGGTTGTTTCTATTATAGTCTCTACATAATTATTATGATTGATCTTATTTATTACATGTCTGATAAAAAAAATTCAGAAGTTTTTATCATCTTAATTTTATTGGGCTCGAGGTATGTGGGTTGTTGGGATAATGCATTCATTTATATTCTATCAATTATATCTATGTTCTTAAATTGTTATGTTTAATTAACGAGTGGAATGTGTTCATGATGTATGCATCCAATGTTGTTTCAGTGTCTTTTTCAGCTTTTATAGATATAGCATTTTCATATATTTTTTCCTGACATCAATTCATGAATCAGGAGGAATAGTTTTGGAACTACATGACATAAGCGAAACTTTGCATGCTTATTTATATTGAGATTCTTTACTTTATGATGGATTGTTTTTAAACAAATGTCTCACAAGAAAAGTTTTCAGAATGTTTGTATTTATGCATTTTATTTATTAGGTTCGTGTGTTAATTATTTTTTTTCTATCTTTTCTGTCTTAGTTTTCTAAATTGTTTTTTAAATCATGAAGGACATATGTACATGGTGTATGCATCCTATATCGTTCATGCAGCCTCTAATTTTAAAAAAACACAATTTTATAAAAAAATTTCATTTTTCTCAATTTTGCATTTTCCGGATTTTTAAGGAACGGTTAATGAATCGGGAGGAAAAGTATTCTAGCTACAGCCTTCAAACATTTCATGCTTCTTTTTATTGATATTCTAAACGAAATTCAAGAGCCTTGTTTTATATATATATATATCCAACTAGAAAGTTTTATAACATTTTTACATTTGCTACCCCTGAAGAGTCCTCAAATATTTATGTGACCCCCACATACATGCCATTTGTAACACTTCCAATAACTGCTGTGTAATAATCTTCTTTAAACTTTTTGTCAATGTTATTCTTAATGTGTATGCTAAGTTTCATTTAATATACAGTACAATAAGTTACAATACAATGCAATACAAATTTGTCTTTATTCATTTTTCGTAAAGTCAAAATTGGTATTAAATGTTTAATTTTTTGCAATAAAAGTCACAACAAATTAAAAAAAAAAAACTAGTGGATTTTTGTCATTCTGTTTGTGTATGGTTTGTATGTACTATATTTTTTTCAATGGCTCTATTTATTTAGGTTATCAGTATTTTATTTTCAATGTGGCATGGCTTAGTTGCCCTGAAACCAAACTCCCTTCACAGATCACATATATTTGCTCCCACTCAATCATTACTTCTGTACTTAAATGAAGAAATGATACCGTACAAACAATAGTTAACTGTACAGGTACCAATAAAGGAAGGTGAGAAAGTAAAAGGAGACAAATGGCAAAGGAATGATGTGAACTAATTAAATGAGTTTATTGGCTGTCTACTCCATACTGGCCCCTAATTTATTTTATGGAATACTTGAGTACACAACTCAAATAACTAACAACCAAACAAAAATGTTCTCAAGTCAGTTAAGGGTTTTTTTTTCTATTAAATTATGTACCAGTGTGTTAGACCCAGTAGACCAGCGGTTCTCAACCTGGGGGTCGCGGAACCCTTTTCCAGGGGTCGCTTAAGACCATCTGAAAACATATAGCCTTACAGCTATGAAGTAGCAACGAAAATAATTGTGTGGCTTGGGGGTCGCCATGACACGAGAAACAGTATTAAGGGGTTGCGGCACTAGAAAGGTTGAGAACCACTGCAGTAGACAGATATGGTAAAAAAAAAAGAAAAGTCCTCCAAAAAGAAGTCTCTTTTTCATACTTTATACAATGGCATCCTTTAACTTCAAGATGTTCATTGCAACTACCTTGTGAATTAGGTCAAGTCAAATGAGAAAGGTTGTTGAAAGGAGATTCAAGATATCAGGAAAAACAGTCAGTGTCCGCATGTATGACTCCCAGTGCCAAGGAAAAGGTTTAAAATTGGTGGTTTTGTTCTGACTACGCAAGCTCTCTAGAGGAATAGTTGAAATTAATTCATTATGAATGAAATTTTCATTATTTAGAATACCTAATTAATTCATAAAGTACTGTGCGATTAAATCTTTTAACTTAAAAAATGCACATAAATAATATTAAATAAATGATTTAATTTTTATAATTAAATTAATATTATTAGTCTTCTAAAATTCAAATGAAAACAATAAATGTATCTAAATCATCTTCATTACTAGATTTAAAAAAAAAAAATTGATCTACGAAAATGGCTTAAACTAAAAAAAGAAAATAATAAAGAAAAAAATCTACTGGTACTAAGAGAAATTAACAAAGCAAAAATTAAAAAAAAAAAACTAAAAATAATAAAACTATTAATCAATGAAATAACAAGGAGAAAAAACAATTAAAAAAAAATAATTCTCATACTATAATTGTTATCACAACCGGTCCCGAAGCCATTTAATATGTACGGAGCCACTCCGGGTGCGAATCGTTATTGGCGACTATAGGTACCTGGGTACCTATAGATGCAGCCTCAACAAAAAGTCATTTGTTGCAAAAAATTTTGTGGTTGGCGATTCTCAACAAAAAAATTATCAAATCCAGTTTTTATGAGAGGAATGAGAACCGATACTAAAATCTGCATTAAATCAAGCATATTTGCAATTAATTTTTTCAGTTGTCACTAACAATCAACATGCGTAGTACTTGTCAGGAAGAACACAATAAATGGCAGCTGCAAACTGACCTGGGTCGTCGAAGGCATCTTCAACTGCAACTGAAATACAGCAGGAAATAATTGAGACCTGAGATCTTATTGCAATCACTTCTATTTTCTGAGATTTCACAAAATCCACAAACACTGGAGATGAATCGATAGATCATCTAAATGGTATTAAGATATGTTGATATTTGATATCTATTTCTGTTCTTTCTACCTTGGGGTAATAAGGGGAGAGACTGCAATCAGGTTAGTACAAAATAAAATGAGTAAAACAGAGTAGGGTTAAACCTGAAAAAATAAACGCAACAAAACAGCGAACGTGTCGGCAGAAAGCCTTCGTCAGCGAACAAAACAACAGAAAAAACGTTATAAAAATAAGAAATAGCACTTAGCTGGTAAGTAGTATCTGTGGGCAGCAATAGAAGTGTGGCAGAAGGAAACTGAGTGAGAGTTTAAATAAGCAGCGGCGAAAAAAGGGGGGAGAAAAAAGTTCACTGTGATAGGTCAGAACGTGGAGGGGCGGAGCTAGGGTCAAGCTGTGAACAGAGACATAACATTAATCCCATCTGGCGTCAAGGTGCCGTAAGTCAGGATAAGTCTGTGTTCCAAATTGACCCGGCTGGCGGTGTTCGTGCTAGCCACAATCGCACTTATTGAAAAGTCTGCCTTGCCCTGGTGGTCGCTACTATTGAAGGGGTTGGAGACGGGACACTGTTTATCTTGTGTAATGTTTCGGAGGTGTTCGGTACACCTGTCCGAGACATACATAGGGGAGACTGGACGCCGTCTCTCGGACAGGTGTACCGAACACCTCCGAAACATTACACAAGATAAACAGTGTCCCGTCTCCAAACACTTCAATAGTAGCGACCACCAGGGCAAGGCAGACTTTTCAATAAGTGCGATTGTGGCTAGCACGAACACCGCCAGCCGGGTCAATTTGGAAGACAGACTTATCCTGACTTATGGCACTTTGTAGCCAGATGGGATTAATGTTATGTCTCTGTTCACTGCTTGACCCTAGCTCCGCCCCTCCACGTTCTGACCTATCACAGTGAACTTTTTTCTCCCCCCTTTTTTCGCCGCTGCATATTTAAACTCTCACTCATTTTCCTTCTGCCACACTTCTATTGCTGCCCACAGATACTACTTACCAGCTAAGTGCTATTCCTTATTTTTATTTTTATACCGTTTTTTCTGTTGTTTTGTTCGCTGACGAAGGCTTTCTGCCGACACGTTCGCTGTTTTGTTGCGTTTATTTTTTCAGGTTTAACCCTACTCTGTTTTACTCATTTTATTTTTCTTTCTACCTTCCTTTATTTGAATTCAAGTTACTTAGTAGTACTAGAAGTAGCATAGCTATTACTCCAGACTTTATCAGTTTATTAGCAGAAAGTGAGAGGTCATTCCTTGTGGAGTTCGTACATTAAGGAACTCTACTGGATAGTTCTGAACTAAAGTTTATTCTAAAACATCAAAGACGATTCCCATAATTAATAGTATCACAATAAACAGATCACAAGAACAAATATTTGATCATGTCAGTACTAATCTACATACTGTACTTTTCTGACAAAGTCTGTTTTACGTTACAGTGTTCAGATCCAGGGACCCTAGCAAATTAAAGTCTGCATGAAAGAAAACCCACGACAGAGAAAGTTGTTGGGCGATTATCATCACAAAACTGGCAATTTAGTCTTATTTGAAATATACCCGATGGAAAAATAATATTTTTGAAACTATTACTATTAATTATAAATGTTATTCTTTTAAAATTTGTGAAAGTTTAAAATTTGCAATCTATTCTGCTGAGATGTGGTGCATAGTAGAGTAATATTCAACTAATGAACTGAAACTGACAATCAATTTTGGAGCCATCTGTGAAGTTTTTTTTTAACAGTATAGAAAAAAGTTATTACACATTATATAAAGAGTTTACATATATATTTGATAAATATATACTGAAAGTAAGAAATATTTTCAAATCCCTGTATCAAAATATGAAATTTTAACTGAAAATATTTGTAGAGTACTAGTCTAGACATTAAGTGTTTTGAAGGGCAAAATTGTGTAGGCTGCAGATCAGTATAAAGGTCTAAGAATGTTAAAATAGACACACAAAAAACTCTGTTCTTTTTAGATAAAATAAGACGTGGGCTTTAAAACAATTATTAATCTCCTTTTTTTACCCATTAGTTTTTCCAAAAGAATACTGAAGAACTGGGCAAGTTATCAACTGCCATTATGGTGTATCTTTCCATTTATATATTCATACATATTATTATTAAATTCAGCAACATTCTTAATGATTAATCAGTTCATCTAACCCAATTTTAAATCAGAATTTGGAGTGAATTGTTTTTGTCCACAGTAGCAGTTACTTAAATTTCTCTTGGCTCAATCAAAATATTCAAATGGTCATTGTATTTTCAAAGTAATATAATAAAATCTCTTCATTAATTTAAATGCTGTGGTGAATTTGATTACGGTCAGAATAAGTTGTCAAAAAAATCTCAGAATCATTAGCAGAAATACAACAAACAGTAGGCCTATGTAACATAACAATGGCGATGCTGTGAATGGACACATTTTAATAACAATCTTATAACAGTATGATGTAGCAAAATTATAAATAATAATTTACACATTTATCTCAATAAATATGTGTCTCTAACAATTACCGGTGCTGTATATTCATATAATATATATATTCATATTATATATGTAGTTATATTTTTACAGTGGTTGTAGAGGTAAATAACTGAATGTTTTAAAACTTTTTACATTTTTATTATTTTTCTTTAGTATACTGATTTTCTTAATTTCCAAATCTAAATTCTCCATTACAAGAGGAAAAAGTTAAATTATAAAATCAGTATTTATTTATGATTACTACAATTAGTGCAATATAAAATTTTTAACATACCGTAATAAGAGTCACTGAGATCTCTTCTATAAATTATGCATATTTAACCCTGATAAGTAAAACTTCAAGGGCAGATACATAATTTGATATTCAACAGTTTTTCTTAAACTAAAGATGTTAAGTTTTTGCCTACCGGTACTATTTATATAGCCATAGGTTATCAAAATGAAACAGAAAGAACTCCTTACCTGTAGTTAGAAATAGGTCTCTCAATGGAGGAAAAATTCATAGCAGACCATTATTTTCGCTCATGCGCAATAGGTTGTAAATGGGGACTTTGTTTGAAAAAGTGGCAGAAAATTTCAAGAGAGATTTAATAAGACGGCACTATGTACCATGTAAATTGGCTATGTTGTCTACTTTTAGTAAATTTCACTGTTTTTGAAAGGCACTCTGTCAATGGAAGAGGAAATCTAATCAACAACTAATTGAAAGTGACTTATGTTGGAGACTACACATTCCTTAAAAATATGAATCCTTGTAAACCATTGGCAAAAATTATCATCCCACCTTGCATTTGCATATCTGACTCCATCAAGTGTTGTTCAACCTGTATTTAATAGAAATAAGCACCTAAGTACTTAATTCGAAACAGAGGTATCACTTATGATCACTTTCAAGGATCTTTGTCTAAGACTTTAGTAAGGGGGAATGCAGCATGTTACTGGTCCACCAGATATCCCCTTCTGTTTGACACATAAAACTCTCAGAGCTGCAAATTTCATTAAAATTGACAGCCATTACTAGGTGCAATCTTTATAAAATTCACTCAGAATGGTTCTGTCACTTTTTTCAAGCTGGGTCACCCATCATGACTCTTTATGCATGAGCAAAAACAATGGTCAACTATACTAATACTTTTTCCTCCATTGAGAGACACATTTCCAATAACAACTGCCCATCTTTTCACCCCTGAGAACATGTGATGGCTGAAGCTTACGCACATAAGTGTTCAATACGCGGAAGTTTCAGTTCTTTTACTTTTGGCACATACTATATTTCCAACAATAATTTGTTTTAAGAACATAAATACCTGGTACTAATACTTTCTCAATATTGATTGAAAAATATTTTATCTATATATTGAGAACTAATCGGGATGAAAGTTGTTACCAGTACTTAAGTTTTTATTAAAGGTAAAGCTTAGTGCACTTCTAAACATTTAAATATTTATTATCCTTTTTTACATATACTCTTTCAGTAAATAACACTAAATATGGAACTTATGGGTAATTGCATTTGAGGATGTTTAAATACCAGTACATGTTGACATTGATTATGATAAGATACTGCCAAACACAAAAATTATAATAAGCTCCAGATATTAAACTGAAGGCTTGAGTGCTTTTGGTTCCTGGCTGCCATTCTGACTTAGAGATATTGGATATGTCCTATCCCCAGCTACTGCCAAAACAAGACTCCAAAGATTGACTGCCTTCTCCACCTTGTGGCTATCTAAATATGTGTGTGCAGAAATTTCATACTCTCTTCCAAAAAACGTACTGTGGAAAAGTAAAAAAACAAAATCTTAGCCTGTATGGTTACCGGTATATGTAAATGGGTGGAAAATAATGGACACTAAATTAGTCTACTGATGATTGTATACATTTCAAATAGAATATTCTGAGGAGAACTGTGAAGCCTAATCATTATAAATTTCTTTAAAAAACATAATCCTCTATTTCTAATGGTTTTTACTATGGTGATTTATAATTTTACTAATTTATCAATACCGGATATTTAAATGTTCAAAAACATTAGACCTTGTATCATAACCTGTGAAGGGAAATGAGGTCTTTTCCATGAATTTCCCTAACTTTGTTTTCATTTTTAAAAGCATTTAACATTTTACTTCTCTGTTCTTCCAGTGGGTATTTAAAAGATTTCTCAGTCAGCAGATTTTTTTTTTATGTAACAATGATATTTTTAAGTAAAATAGTATCATAATTTTAAGAAATATTTCATTTTACCGGTCGTAAAAAAAGAATATTTATTTTGTAAAATATAATAAAGCCTTTACTTTATAAATGCCCTTGAATTATAAAATTATTGAATTTTTAAAACTTTTTTTTGCATAACAATAACATTATACCAATAACTCATTATATTTTATTGAAATGGCAAATAAAAAAATGAGCGCTTCTGTTATATCTCTTAAATAACAACACACAACTTAATAAATTTAAAAATGCTCAAAAGCCAATAAATAGAAACCATTAAATACATTTTGGTAAATTTATTTATTAAATTCAAGGACCTGCTGCCAAAATAAGATCAACTATGTCGCTAGCAGTCGAATTAAAAAAACAATTATTACCATGTCACAAGCAATAAATTAAAAAAACAATGGAAAAAATGGAGAAGTCTGACTTCAGCTAATGCTTCTTACTGTTCACTTATTTTTTAAAAATTTTAATTATTTTTATAAATTAGTGTGAAATATATTTAATGATGTGACTGATTAACTTGTAAAATAATTGAAAATACTATTAATAATAAACTGAATTACCCATATCTAGTTTTGTAGCAAATGAGCATGAGGGAAGCCAACATAGAAATCAACAAATGGGAGATCATTGCTGAACAACATTCGAGCAGGCAAACAGCAGTGTATAAAGGAGTCGAAGAGGCAGAAGATGTGCCAAATGAAGTTCTTGAAAAAAAAAAAAAGCCAAATCTAAATAGGAGTCAAGATTCTCCTGCGAGAAATGCAGCAGAGATTGCCATTCCAGGATTGACCAAGTGAGCCATTTGTTGAAATGTACATAGCTACTCAATCATCTNATATATATATATATATATATATATATATATATATATATATATATATACACCGGGGTATATATATATAGTTTAACATTCAAAATCAACTATGACCATGCACAAGCTAATTAAAAATAATAAAAACATACATAATACAACAGCAAGCACTTACTTAACAAGATATTTTTCTTCCAAGCACAGGTTCTGGTGAGTTTTGCAGTGTTGAATTAAGCATTCTTCATTTGCCTGGTTTAACAAAAGCAAAACACTTGAAATGTACCGTAATATACAAAATACCACACTTCAAATAATCAAATATTTTGAATATAATGTCAAAATTTTAATTAAGATAAAAAAATGATCACAATCTTAATCAGTTTTATCTTTCATGTGTTTTAGTACTGGGTAAGTCAGATGTATTGTGAGGTATATTTTTCTTATTGGGTTTAATTATTTTAGACCATACTAGCCAATATACCAGGCGTGGCCCAGGATTGCATAAAAATAACAAAAACTTAACAGCCTTTAGCTTAAATTGAAATTTTGGGCATGCAAAAGACACAATTACAAAATCCAATCCCACAGGGATCCCATTTCCCATTCTGATCTCCAGTGGATCCTTTTCCTGTTGTGATCCGATTTCCCAGTATGTGATTTAGATCCCGATGGGATCTCAACCCCAATCTTGATAAGATCCTGATTAAAGCCCAATGGGATGCCAATTTATATGGGATCCCAATAGGATCCAGATCTAGTTGGGATCCCCTTTCCTGATCCCATGGGATGCTGATTCTAATTTGGATCCCACATCCCAATGGTATACCAATCCTGGCGGGATCATGATTCTAAGTGGGATCCCATAATCCGATGGGATCCAGAGTCCAAGTGGGATCCTGCTTCCATGAAGGGTCCCATATCCTGGTATAATCCCTTCCTGATGGTATCCTGATCCTAATGGGATCTTGATCTCGATTGGACCCCAATTCCATGTGTGATCCATATCCCAAAATGGATACCATTTCTGGTGGGATCTTGACTTGCGGTTTAGACCTTCTAGGTTTAACGGGGGTGGAGGCGATTACAGCAACGCACTGTGGAGTGTGTAGAGCAAGATGAGGCCCACATAGCATCTTGGTCATCCACTGCATCTGTGCCCATCTCCGGTTGTCTTGACTTAGTCTTACCATTGGACATGGTTGGATCCGGATGAAAGAGCGAGATGGACGCTCTGCAACTCTTCCTAACTTTAAACAAAATCATCCGCACAAGTCATCAGTCATCCAGCACCCATCACACCAAAACCTGTGGCGACGTTTAAACGGCAGAGCAACAGGTGTGGTGCACTTGTGGTCAAACTCGATTTCACTTAAAATTGCCACATGGAACATCTGCACTCTGCTTGACAGGGATACTACAAACAAACCTCAATGACGCACGGCGCTAATTGCCTGTGAACTTTTAAGATACATCATAGACATCACCGCCTGCAGTGAAACCATACTCTCTGGCAAAGGTGAACTCACATGAAAAGGCTGCCACCATAGTCAGTGCCAATGCACCCACCATGACAAACACAGAAGAGACCATAGATAAGTTTTATGAAGTCCTGAACAATGTTATCTCCTCCACTTTGATTGCTGAAAAACTCAGCATTCTTGGAGATTTCAATGCACATTTTGGCACCACCTCCTGGGGGGGGGGGGGGTAATGAGGAAGCATGGCGTTTAAAAGTGCAACAGCAACTGCCTGCTACTATAAGTTTTATGAAGGCCTGAACAATGTTATCTCCTCCACTTTGATTGCTGAAAAACTCAGCATTCTTGGAGATTTCAATGCACATTTTGGCACCACCTCCTGGGGGGGGGGGGGAGTAATGAGGAAGCATGGCGTTTAAAAGTGCAACAGCAACTGCCTGCTACTATTTCAGACATGTGTTTAACACGGCCTTCTTATAACGAACACCACCTTCAGCCTCCCCACGCACAACAAGACATCCTGGATGCACACCCGTTCAAATCACTGTCAACTAATAGATAATGTCATCATCACAAACGGACCGGCAGGACGTGAAGGTGACTAAGGCCATGTGTGGCACATAATGCTGGATAGTGACGACCTCAGGCCCCCAAAGCTCTGAAACGGCTCAACATCAGTAAGGGGAAGAACCCAGATGTCAGACAGACATTTTTTGACACCCTGGATAAACGCCGTGATTCCATTACACTAGACAACCAGGACATGGAAGCAGCGTGGATCAAACTTCGTGAGACGGTGTATAGCACATCCCCTGAGCGCCTCGGACCCTCTAACAGGAAACACAGGGTTTGATGAAAAAAAATCAGCGATCCAACTACTACTTGAGCAAAAACATCAGACGTACAAGGCCCTCCCATGATTCCCCAATGTCAACAGCCAAGATAGCTGTACCAAGGAGCATCCGCAGCAATATCCATTTGCCATTGCGCCAGATGCAAGACTCCTGGCTGAGTGCGAAAGCTGATGAGATTCAGGGCTTTGCATACAAGAAAGACATGCAGAACTTATACAGTGACATGAGAGAAATATATAACGTTACCACCTCAGGCTCTTCCCGTCTCCTTAGTGCAGACGGTTCTACACTCATCACAAACGAGGAGAAAATCCTGGAAAGATGGGTGGAACACTTTGATAGTGTGATGAATACGCCTTGTCTCATCAATGATGAGACTATTGAAAGATTGTAATCATTGAAATATCCTCATCAGCACCAGGCACAGAAACATTGCAAATCCCCTCTACATGCATAGGAGCCAAAATGATCAATAAATTGATTGTGGGCCCTTAATATATAGAAGAAGAAGAAAGAAGGTCCCAACGAAAAAAGTCACTGGATGATGCCCAACTTTGGTTGAGATACATCAGACATCCACCAACTTCCATTGGCAAAGCACCTGGTTCTGACATTATTCCTATCAAAATCTACAAAGGGGGTGGGCCAGCTCTGACGGATAAGCTGCTGCGTCTTATCCAGATCATCTGGAAGACGGAAATTGTACCACAGGTCCTCAAAGATGCCTCCATTATCCACCCGTACAAACACAAAGGAAACCGATAGGCCTGCGACAATCACAGCGGATTTTCACTGCTGTCCATCGCAGGCAAGATATTGGCTCCAGCCCTACTGAACCACAAGAATGCATATCTAGAGCTAGGTGTCCTACCCGAAAGTCAATGCAGTTTCTGCAAAGAATGCGGGACTATCGATCCGACATGGTGTTTGCTCCAGTCAGTTCCAAGAGAAATGCAAGGAGCAAAATACTGACCTATATTCCCGATTTATTTACCAGAATAAGGCTTTAGACATGGTCAGCAGATCCATATCTGTGGAAAATCAAGAAGAAGCACGGATGTCCAGAATAGTTCACCAACATCTTCCATCAGCGGCATGATGAATCGAGTCCAGGACAACGGTCAGTCTTCTCAAGCATTCAGTATCCTATACTGGTATTCTGCAATGCTGTTTTATGCTTTCAAGGACTCCACCACGGGCTTGCCAATCCGCTTCCGCGCCGATGGACCATTCTTCAACCTTAGGAGGCTTCAACTTCAAGCAAAATCCAAGGTCAAATGTAACACCATCAACGAGCTTCTGTTTGCACTCAACGCTGCCTCTGAAACCGACATGCAACACAGCGTGACCTGCAACAACTTTGGCCTCACAATAACACAAAGAAAACTGAAGTGATGTATCAGCCAGCTCCCAAGAAGCCTTACGTTGAACTCAGCATCACCCTCTGCGGGCAGCGTCTAAACGCAGTGTACAAATGTACCTACTTGGGTAGCACACTCTCCAGATCTGTCGCCAAGGATGCCGAAATTAATGCCAGACTCGCAAAAGTGAGTGCAATATTTGGCAGACTCCACAGAATTTTTTGGTACAGGAGAGGTATCAGTCTCAAAACGAAGATTAAGGTGTATAGCGCAGCAGTCCTCTCGACGATGGGATACGTGGAAAGTCTACCAGCGTCATGCCAAGAAACTAAACCACTTTCACACAACCTGCCTCAGGAAACTTCTCGGCAACAGGTGGCAAGACAAAGTGCCTGACACGGAGGTCCTCGCTAGAGCAAACCTACCTAACATATTCACCACCCTGATGCAGTCTCAGCTCCATTGGACAGGAGACGTAGCCCATACGGAAGACAACCGGCTTCACAAACAGCTGTTCTTCAGTAAACTCACTCTAGGCAAGCGCTCACATGGAGGTCAAATAAAGCGATACACAGACACACTGAAAGCAGAACTAAAGGCCTTAAACATCAACCTATTGAATGGGTGCAAACAACCCAGGACTGAGCCAAGTGGAGATCAGCTGTCATGTAGGCGCTCAATCTCATGAAGCCAGAAGGATAGCGATAGCTGAGAATCGTAGGCTAGCCCGAAAAAGCAGCCTAAGACCGCAAATATCCCCTGTCTGCAGTGCCAGACACTATTCCAAGCGTGAAACGGACTAGTAAGCCACTTCGTTATTCACCGTGACCCAGTCCACCCTAACCGGATGACTAGATGGTCTTTGTCGCTATGACGGACGAAGGACACACATAAAAATCGTTCAGATAAATAATATAGTTAAAATTTAAAATTTGTTCCATTAAACTGTGTTTAAAAATGTCATAGATATAGTATAGCTTTTTTTTTAAAATTATCGAACTCTCTGGAAAATTATAGATCGGCGCTGAATGAACTGGATATTATTAATTTTAAATCCACCAATTTTTTGATGCCGGTACTTACTATGAAGGGTATTGCTACCAAGCAAGGACTATATCCATCAATTCGTAGCACCTATAGTGTTGTCTAAGCCTTAAGATATTTATGTAGCTTATAACAGGAAAAATGAAATGGGGCCCCCATTTATGAGTTCATTACCGTTTGGTATTTGAATGTGGATACCGGTAATAAGTGTATGTGTACTAAGTTTGGTCAAGATAAATCTATTCATGTAGGATTATTTGTTGGTCATTTTATTTATATAGCTCATTAAAAAAAACAATTAAGGACCCCTTGCCCTAAATGGAATGTTGTAAAAAGTTCATGACCCCCAAGATTTCTTTCTGGATAATGATGGATATATGTGTCAACATCCATCAATCCATGTAAATTCGTATGCCGAACAAACAAACCAACAAATTTTAACTTATATATATATACATATATATATATATATATATATATATATATATATATATATATATATACATACTATTATATATAAATATATATATTTATATATATATATATATATATATATATATATATATATATATATATATATATATATATATACATACCGGTATAAATTAATAAACATATTAATGTATGTATATATATATATATATATATATATATATGATAAATGACAGTTACTGGAACCATTAAGCTTGCATGTTGGCATAGTATTAGTAATAAGAATATTTATACTATACATTATGAAATCTATATTTGAAAAATATTTACACACTAGAACAGGTTCATGCTCGTACTCCAAACGAAGAAGAGGGTTTTTGTGTTCTATTTGCCATGCACATTTGAATGATCTTTCAGGAATAAGATGAGCCACCTGATGTCTAGCTTTTTCCGTAGAACGGTTGAAAAGAATCACATCAGAAAATAAAGACAGCTGAATAGAGAATATTACATACTCAAATTAAATTTTAATTGAATTATACATCCCGCCAAAAAAAATATCATCTATTCTATTTCCTAGAGTAAATTATATCTCTTAATTTAACTGTTAACTTGCACATATCTAGCTCAGAATAAGTTATTTTTTTTTTTAAATTTTTGTTCAGTCAAAGCTTTAGACCTGTTTTTTTTTTTTCAAACTATTTTCCGTAAAACCTTATTTAAAAAAGTCTCTAAAGGGTTAAAAAAAAATAATAAAAATTAAAAAAATTTTAAAATTGAAACCAATTAATCAAATAGAATAAATTATTTTTTTTTTTAAATTTTTATTCAGTCAAAGCTTTATACCTGTTTTTTTTTTTTTCAAACTATGTTCCGTAAAACCTTATTTAGAAAAGTCTCTGAAGGGTTAAAAAAAAATCATAAAAATTAAAACAATTTTAAAATGGAGACCAATTATTCAAATTTCAGGTGACATACAAGCAGCAAACAAGAAAATGCACCATGTCATAATAAAATAGTTTTCTAAACAAATATACAATATCAAGGTAGCACACAACTGACATGAAAGATGACCTGTACTAATGTTAAAAAATGCAACATTCCAAATAATGATTGTGATAGGGTCCAACATGAACCTTTTAATTTAAATCTTTGAAAAAATTATATTTATCTTTAGGATTTATTCCCATTTGTAGTGCAGAGCAACTAGGTACATAATACATGAATGATTTGGAACATAATCTTTTTCAGTTAATTAGCACCTGCTTTGCTGAAAAGAAGCTGCCCACACCTTAAGTGAAAAAATGTCAGATTCTCTTCACAATAATAAATAGAAAAGTCATGATGCTGGTTTCAGACAAATATATACAGTCAAAGAATCTGTAGCTTAAAATTTGTAGTCCCAAGTTCGAATTATCTAATTATATTAAAGTATGTAGCAATGGAGTGCAGGAATAGTGGGAAAATAAAATGTGATGGTATTGAGCAATAAAAAATAGCACTAAATTGCAGAGTTTTTTTTATCTTTTGCCTGAACTAAGTACAAATTTTGGAGTAAGATTGAAGGCAGTTTAAGAATTAGCTGTGTAAAAAAAAGCCCAATTTAAACAATTTTTAAACTTAAAAATGATACAATCAACTTTAATTTTCTTTTAGTAATAGTTAAGTTTACACTAAAAAAAAAATGTCTTTTGAAGAGTTCAGTGAATGAAAAACTGAAGCCTCAAAGTACTCAGACAAATAAATTTATGATATTTTGTATTAAGTATCTCCAGCTGAAATTGTATGAAATTGTACAAGGAAAGTTTCCCAACCATGATGCTGTAGAACCCTGGAGTGCCACAATATTACACCTAAAGTGCCACCAAATAACTTTGAATAAAATTTATCCCCATAACTTACCCTATTGTATTATTTGAGTGTTAAGTTTGCTTAATTTCTCTATTAAATTACTTCCACATATTCTGAACTTGAAAAAAACAACAACTGGTGTAGATATAAATATTATCCCACCACTAGTGTGCAGTTCACCACCTAATTGCAGTCTTTGAAAACATGAGGGAGAGACATAATAATAGACCGCTTCCTTCTTCGTCTCACTGCTAATTGGGAAATTTTCTAATATTAAAGTAAACTTTAATCTCCATATCCTCATGATTTACAATTCTACTGTATATAGATTTATCTGCTAGAGCCTTAAAAGTCAGCTCCAAGCAATAATAGAAGTCATTTGCTGCTCACCTCACACACAGATAAATAATTTAAAATATGAGGGTGCTGCAAACATAACTTTTTTCTTCAGTACCCCACTTAGCAATGGAAAAGGGTTCAAAACGTTACAAGTCCTACACCATATTTTGGTTTTCATGGATTCATTTGTGTGAAAATTAAGACAAAAAATTACACAAAACAGTGACTAATATTTCAATATTTCACAAATTGAAATGAATCCAATACTTGAAACAAAATTATTTTTTTAAAATTGCTGCCACAAAAGACAGATTAAATACAAATTGTCATAATTTTATTTATTCCTTATAATAATTTTAAGTTCCTGTTTAAGTAAGTCATGCTAAATTTATTTTTATTGTAATTAATTTGTAAGCATATATAAATTTGAACCTCTCCAGTCTCCGGTGCTGCTGTCACTAGCAGAAAGGGCTGGCCATAATGCAGTTTGTCTCCAATCTGATTATCAACCTCAGCTCTGTTTAGATTTGAATTTTAAAAAAAATATTGTTTGACTTTCCTGCAACACAAATATTCTAAGAATTGAAAGTGAAAAGAATCAAATAAAATTGTCTATTTAGTTTACTTAGTTTTCTTTAGTACTATGATAATAAGTTCCCAGACTTACGGTATAACTTTAAAAGCTGTGCGATAAGTAGGTGATAAATTTTTTGATCCAACTACCACAAGAGAAGTCAATGAACCTTCACCATCAGTATTCATGTCTGGAATATGAAGAGCCAAAGCACTATCATCACGAGGTTGCTGCCCTATTCCATAAACCGTACGGTCTGGGTTACCTGAATTTTTTGGGGGGTTCAAATTAAAATTTATTTTATATAATAAAATTTCACAACTACACAACTCTTGCTCAAGAGATCTATTAGAAGATATGAATCATATTGATATTGTGCTTCCGTTTACCTGCTATTGTGTGGTATGTTACAGTGTTTTACTGCAGGAATTCAAATGGAATATCTGGGGGAATCATTGGGATGTGTGGCAACAGTACATCTTCTCCTTTAAATTTTTCATTTAAAATAGTAGCTTTGTTCATCATCTTTTTCACTGAAAGCTTAGTACCATTGCAAAGTCGTGGTAGATATGTGTTTTGGAGAAGAATGATAGGCACACCAATTTTCAGTGTTAAAACATGCGACGGGATGCCTGGCAAGTCAAGTGAATTCAAGAATTCAGTTGGATAATTGACAACTTCGTTTTGATTCATATCAGCATCGATGGATTTATACGTTGTGGCTTCGCCTGGTATTTGATTTTGAATGCTGAAGTTGATTGCACTGACATCTTTGTTTTCGGCTGCTAGAATAGCACGTGCACTGAGCCACTGATGAATTTTGTAATTATGTGCCATATTTGGGAATATTTTGTGAATCAATTGGTTGGTGAATGCAGTGATTTTACAGACGTTTGTTGGCATGTGATACATTGTGTGGATTCATTGATTGCCTTTTTCCCATTCCCAATATCCAACAATTGTTTTGCAAAAGTACACGCATATTGGTGTTCAAAGTCAATTTCTAATGATTTGAGACATGCATTTAATTTATCAGCAGCTGTTGAATGTGGTATAACTGGTAGAGTTTGTCAAAAATCACCAGACAATAAAATAAGTGCGCCACCGAAGAGGTGTTAATTTTCTCTCAAATCTTTTATGTACGATGAAGCGCTTCCAATGCTTTTTTGTGCACTATAGTACATTCGTCCCATGTAATGAGTGGACATGATTGGAGTACTTTACCCATTCCAGAATTTTTATTGATATTGCATGTCAATGTTTTAGTTGTTTGCATATTCAACTGCAATTTCAGTGCTGAATGCGCTGTTCTACTACAGGTACCATCCAAAAGAGTTGCTGCAATTCCAGATGATGCGATTCAATGCAATATTATTTCATTATTGTGTTGTTACCAAAATAAGTGAAATTAGAAAAGTTTTGCCTGTGCCTCCAAGAGCATCTAGGAAATACAATCCACCACTTAGGTTTATAATTGGTACATTATTCTGTCATACACTGAGGGTTTGAACAAATGTAACCAATTCGTCAAAATCAATATGTGTTTCTCGTTGCAAATCACGATGGAAAAGGATATTTTCAGATTGATTTGGAGCAGTCATTCCCAATTGTACCAGTGGTTTGTTCGTGATTGCAAAACATTTATCCTCAATCGAAACCAATACCTCATAATACATGTTTGGTGTTAACTGAATATTTGTAACAAAATCTGGCTTACAGGAGAATGACCTAAACCATGGACCCAATCGCTCATCGTCATCCTCCCCAAAAAAGGTAACCTACAGCTATGGAAAAACTAGCGCACAATTAGCCTAATAAGCCATCCAAGCAAGGTCATGCTGAAGGTCATATTGAACCGACTAAAACCATATGCCGACAGAATCATTGCTGAAGAACAGGCGGGCTTCATACAAGGATGGGGCACTACTGAGCAGATTCTAAACCTCTGAATACTATGCACCATGAGGCACTACAACATCAACACAAACCTAACCAGCATGATATGCAACCTTAATGATAAGGCCACCAGTGCAGTCTTCCTCAACAACAACATCGGAGAATGGTTCAAGACCACGGTTGGAGTACGACAAGGCTGACTGCTCTCCCCCACCCTATTCAACATCTTCCTAGAGAGAATTGTGTCAGATGCTCTGGAAGCGCATGAAGGGAAAGTCAGCATTGGTGGCAGAACAATCACCAACCTACGCTTTGCGGACGACATAGACAGACTGGCTGGGAACGAAGAAGAACTAGCCAACCTGGTAAAGCATCTCGATAAGACCTAGTCATCCTACAGCATGCTAATCAGAAGAGACAAAACTGATGACAAATAATACCACAGGCATCACCACTGAAATTAAGGTCGGGGAGGAAAGATTAGAGACTGTAGGCCACTTCAAATACCTAGGAGCAATAGTCTCAGAAGAAGGCTCCAAGCCTGAACTGATGTCCAGGATTGCGCAGACTACAACAGCACTAAAGAAGCTCAAGAAAATATGGAATGACAAAAATATAGCCCCAGCACCAAAATCAGGCTGATGCGCTCATTAGTCCTCTCCGTTGTCTTGTACGCCTGAGAATCCTGGACATTAACAGCCGATCTTGAAAGGAAAATAAAGGCGATGGAGATGAGATGCTTCAGAAGCATTTTTGGCATCTGCTATAGGGACCATATCTCCAATGATACAGTGAAGGAAAGGGTTCGTCAGGCAATTGGGGAGTACGATGACCTACTGGTGACTGTGAAAAAATGCAAACTACAATGGTACGGTCACGTAGCAAGGAAACAAGGGCTTGCCAAAGGAATATAGCAGGGCACCACAAGAGGAGGGAGAAGAAGAGGAAGACAAATAAAAAGATGAGAGGATAACATCAAAGAGTGGACAGGACTAACACTGGGCGATGCAGTGTGTAGTGCTGAAGACAGAGAGGAATGGAGGATGATGATTCACATGTCATCTGTGGCGCCCCAACGGTCCAAGGACTAAGGGACATTAGGATGAGGATGAATATCCTTAGTTTGATTCATTGCACACAAACGATGTAGGATATCTTCACTCACGTAGTCTTTGTATTTCTCTCAAATATCTTTTAGATTGAATGGGAAGCATGTTGTCAATATGATTGCAAACAACAGTATTCGATACATCAGAAAATGAAGTGTCCCAATGTATACCGTTTTCCAGAAGTTATAATTCTTGGCAACTTCACGATAAGTGGCACATATTTGACTGTTTACTGTTCTCAGTTCTTGGAAGGATGTTGGTCCACGTACGTTGATTAACAGCAATCGCAAGTAAAAGCATTCTGCATTGTTTGGGTGAACAGTGTACAGACGGCCTAATGCGTCGGTTGTATATAAATTGGGATGTCCTTCAACTGCTTTACCTTGTTTGCGACTTTGAAACTTGTTCGCTGATGGATTGCATGTGTAGTATGTATGTAGCGTCTTTCCAAATATATCATTCCCGCACAATAAGAAAAATGCAGTTAACGTTGCTGGCGGTGGTGACAATGCTCTTACACGTGCATTTTCTATTTTGAAGTACACGTGCTGTCCATTTTCAAGGTGCACTGCCAAATTAATCACTGTTGGATGGTGTTCATGGATTGGAAATGATAAAATAAAATGCGCCATACTGCTCATTGCTATTAATGAAGCGTCCAAGTTGATTTTGGTAGACTTCATCGAAAGATCAAGCCATATCGCTTCCTTTGTTAACATATTTGCGAATGTACTTGATCTCTTTCACCATATTGCAATACTTGACATTTATGTGTGCTTTGAGCGTTTTGAAATGACTTTATCAATTTGATCTGGTGTGACTTTTTCAATCAAACAAATTAAAATATGTGCATGTGGCAATCCTCGTTTTTGCCATTCGATGGAATACATCAAACAGCGTCTCTCCAAAAACATTATACTTGACAATGAAATCTATTAAATATTTCAATTTTTGTTTAAACACACGCACAGCAATATCATGGTGATCCGATGATGATTGTCCAGTTAACTAAAGTTGTATTTAATTCCACATAGGGTTGCATGAAAAGGTAATTAAAAAATATGGGCGGCCATGTACGCTAACATAGCTCATTGTGCGTTTTCATGCATATGCCGTGGACTCCCTGTAAATGTGGCCAATGGCATGACCATTTTCCCATTTCATTTGGATTCACATTGCCATCATTAACAACTGCATTGCGTAAATGAATGTACTCTTCAGATCGCAACTTGGTTTGGTTTAATTGATAGTAGTTACTATCCTAATGTCTCATTTTTATTGTAGTTAGTTTACATGTTTTTAATAATTGTAAAGCGCTTAGAGCTTTAAGGTAAGCGCTATATAAAAATGCCTAAATAAATAAATAAATTGAATGTAGAGGAGTCCTTCGGTTTCGATTTTTGCATACATATCTTAATAAACAATGTATTGAAGGAACAATTGTCGACATTTCAAGATATGATCTTCAGCGCTCTCGCAAATCATCAATCGGTATGAATAGTAATTCATGGAATTGACTTTCTTATTTGATTCCTTATCTGTTAATTGATTTCTCAACTTGATGTTGAAATGATAGCCATCTTCTCCTTGCCAAAATAAAAGTGGATATAGCTATGCATTGTATGAGCGATGAGATTCTGAGACTCAGTGAACATAACCATTTCTGGGATGAAGAATTATGGATATCGCATTTTGAAAATAAGCTCTTCATATTTAATATATATATATACTTGCCCTTTATATAATTGATAAGTGAATTTAAAAAAAAATTCATTAACTTTTTTAGTTTCCAATCTTTTATATGAAGTTTGTTATTAGTTTTTGAAATTAAAATGTGGACATTTATATAAATTACCTTTGTTAACTACCATTATAGTATCTCCAAATCTCACACATCCATCAGACGATGTACTTAATTGAACCTAAAAATATTTGTATAAAAATATAAATTAAAAAAGTATCTCATAATTTTTAAAATTAATTATATTTAAATTTGAATGTCTGAAGTTAAAACTTTTATCTTATCATTCGCTTGTAAATCAGACTATTCCAACCATTCCACCCCAGTTCTTGATTTAGTTATAAAGGTTTCAGATTTATATGAGTACACTTTAATTTTAAAAACTTAATTATGTTAGGTTAGGTCCAGGGAATGTTTATTTAAATCTACATATTGTCAACTCCTCGGGGAGTTGAGATAAATTGTGTCAAATGAAAAGTGATTTTACTGAAATGACTACTCCTCATAAATAAATGACTTTAAGTTTACATGAAAACTTGGTACAGAGTGAGACAATTCACCATATCAACATGTTGCTGTCACAGTCAGTACATTCATTAAAGATGTCAAGCATTAAGAAGCGCTCAATGAATGTTTGACAATAAATGATCAAAAGTGTCTTATTTGTGATGATTGGAGGGGGAGTAAACTATCTGCCAAAATAGAGTGAAGTCATTTATAGGCCTTTCACTGCTGAAGCCAAAAAAATATTTTATCAATGAGAACTTTAATTAAATTGCCTTTTGTCTCATAAATAAAGATACCCACTTATTGAAAATCATTTTACTCTTAAATTATATTCTGAAAACATTTTTTTTAAGTCACAAAAAATGTATTTATGAAATCAATTTATATGGACAAAGTAAGTCAAATACTTACAGGTTGTGACATCTTCCCCATCAGTCCACTTGATTTTTGAATCAGTAGTTGACCTTTAGCTCTGCGTTCCAGAAAATCCTTTAATGAATCCTAAAATTTAATAAAAAATATAAAAAATAACTAATTCTTGAAAGGCAAAATTAAAATACTGATTGTTTTTCATTTATTATCTTACTTAATTAACAGACATATCTAATATAAAGGGTAAATTATATATTTAGGAACTTTTAAAAATGTATAAAACATGGTGACTCAGCACTCATTTAATTAGGGGACATCCATGAATGACATCACGCATCCAACACTTTTGTGATGATGTGTGATGAGGAGGTTGAGCAACGTGATGTCACATAAAGCTGTATAGAAGGCTCTGCACCCCAATATCTTCAAAACATGTACCCATACAGAGCCTGCGCTCTTCAACACAATTCTTAATGAGAGTTTCCAGTGTGGATGGACACAGAAAAAAGGTCTTATGAAGTGTGCTCTTTTGAAGCTTTTGCAGCTAAATTTTGAAACAATGAATTCAACTTTACTCCAAAATGAACCTTTTGATTTTGAAATAATACTAAAAAATTCTCCCCAAACCCCTCTAAAGCTCAAGATTCATCTTACTTACTTTTACCCCGTCTCGGGCATAGGCCATCTACAATTTTTCATTCATCGCGGCCTTGTGCTTTCCTTTCCAGTTTCTTCCAGGTGTATCCCATACTTGTGTGTCTGCTGCCTCTAGCTCGCATCTCCATATTATTTTTAGGGCCTCCTCTCTTTCTTTTTCAATTTGGATTTCATGTTAGGGATGTTATCTGGGGGTTTGCAGACAGTGTGCCCTATCAACCTCGATCTTTTATTTATGATGTCTTCAGCAATAGGCTATTGATGATTGTGTTTGGCCATTTTATGTTCAGGATCTTTCTAAAGCAAGTGTTTATGAAGGTCTGTATTTTCTCTGTAATGTTCGCCGTTCTCCTAGTTGCGGCTCGATCAAGAAGGACTATTTTGACAATTGTGTCTCATATTTTCTTTAGTAGCACTAATGCTGCCCTAGCCTTCCCAATTCTAGCCCTCACATCTGCTTTGGATCCACCATTCATGTCAATGTTGCTGCCTAAATATGTGAAGGCCTCCACTTCTTCCAGTGCATTTCCCGCCAGAGAAATATGCTCTGGTTTGCCTGAGTTTACCTGCATGATCTTTGCCTTGCTTTTATTTATATAAATAAAATCAAAATTCATTAGCGCCCTTGATTTCTGCCCTACACCCCATTTAAAATGATCGCTAAATTTGGTGATGATAGATACACTGCATAGTGGTGTAGCTAGTAATAGTGCCACAATGGGCAGCCAAATATTCTTGCTGCTCTCCCTTTCGTGATACAAACTCAGCAGTTGTCTGAAAATGCTGCACCTCCATATAGAGAAAAAGTGACACTTGGGTAACAGCCTCATGCTCTCCCTTTCTATGCAACTGGCAGGAGCATAACTAGAGTGTTTGGCGTCAGGGATATTATTCATTTTTTACGCACCCACCCCCCCACCCCCCATCTCTGAAACTAATTATTTTCAACCATTAAATGCCATCAAAGCCCATTTTGGTGTCCCGCTAGTCTGGTGCCCAAGGACATATGCCACCCTTTAGCTATACCTGAAATGCCCCCAGGGGAAAATGTCTGAAAGAGACACTGATCCTTTCTCAATTGCACAATATTTTCTGCAAACAACACCCACCCACCCCCAATTATATTGTGATAAAAATTTTAATATGATAATAATTAAATAATTTAGTTATTTTCGTTTTATTTCTCTTATTAAATTTCTAGAAACAAGAGATAAAAAATACCAATACAAGTAAAGTGCAAAAAAAAACAACTGGAAAAACATTTACTGCTGCTAATCAAAATGCATAAAAACTGTTTTTATTTAAGACAGCAACAACTAGCAATGACAGCAAATACAATGCTCTGGGTCTTCCGCCCCTCAGGGGGTGCTTTGACCTTTGGTTAAGAACTATTTTTTCAGGAAAATGTTTCTAACACACATACATTAATTCGCTATCCATGGGAGTTGAATTTTTTAAGGGTTTGTAAAGAACAGTAGTGGACAGATGGATTTTTTTATTGGGTGGAGTGGGGCTGCAGAGGTTGGTAACATATTATTTGAGGGGGTCTAACTTTTAGTGATGATGGAGGGGGGGGGGGGTAAAAATCTACAAAATTTGGAGGACATCATTTATGGATGGATTTATTAATTAATTTGTTAAATTAAATTTTAAAAAAAAATATCCCAATACAAGAAATAATAATAATATTATTTAAATATTGATTTCAACTCTTCTATGTTTAACATTTTTAAGTATAAATAAATAACATAGGGATTATTTGATTTATTTATTTAAATTGATGATAAACCTTTTAATTTTACCTTTTGTAATTATAAATATATAAAAAATATATATAACACCATGTGAATATGAGAAAACAAATTAGTATTTCATAATTTTAAGTTATTTATCTTGTTTTACAAATCATCGTGTATTGTTAGAATCAATTTTGGCGGTTGATAGAAATTTAAATAATTTCTAGTTATATGCTGGAGGTAAGTCCCAATTATTATAATTGTTGTTTACTGTTGAGTATTATCTTAAGTAATCCTTGGATTAGTGTGCCAGAAAGTGTTTTTTTTTCTTTAAGAATGCTGAGTATTATATAATAATGTTTTTGTTTTTTTATTGGGGGGGGGGTGTTGTGCATGATTGTTTAATATCCTTCTCGACATCATTTGCAAACCAATGAATAGCTTTTAACAAATTTCCATTCAGAAGAAGCATATCAAAAATTGATTTTTTTTTTTTTCTTTAAGAATGCTGAGTATTATATAATAATGTTTTTGTTTTTTTATTGGGGGGGGGGTGTTGTGCATGATTGTTTAATATCCTTCTCGACATCATTTGCAGACCAATGAATAGCTTTTAACAAATTTCCATTCAGAAGAAGCATATCATAAATTGAGGACATAATAAATCAGTGGTTGGCTAATTGTGGCTCTTTAGCGACCCAAGTGCGGATCGGTCAGTCGGCCACAAATCGGTTTTGACTCAAAAAAACCATGGTTCTTGACAAGTTCTTGAAAATAAATTTGGCTCTCAAAATTTTTTGAATTATCTTGCTGCTGATTTTTGGCTCTTTTGACAAACTAATGAGTTTGCCGACCACTAATTTAGATCAAAGGTCCATGGAAAATCAAAATATCTTTCAGCTGTGATTTCTCAGATGTTCAAGCATCGTTTACCTCAGAGAAAGCTCGCTCCACAGACATTTTTGTGCTGGGAAGGGTGAATGAAAACTCAAGCAGTAGTTGCAAATGTACAGAAAGTATATCATTTGCTTTTAAATGTTGAAATAGTTGCACCCATTTTTTAAACTACAGAAATATTTGCAAGTTCCATTCTTCCTGCTTAGAAGGTGACAAATTGTTTCACATGAGTTACCTTGTCAAAGAGATCGCTACTAAACAATTTTTTCTGAGAAGATTTCATTTACATGCGCAGATAGTTTCAAAGGGGATTCATGCAGGTGCAGCAGTAATGCTTTGGTTAACGAGAAATGATCCGCATTATGGCGCTGAAACTATTCATTGCGTTGGCCTTTGCGGAGAAATAAGATAAGACAAATGGAAGTAAGGCAAGTAAGTCCTTGCTGCCAAAAGCACGAACAAGCCGGATGACGAAAGGAAAGTAAGGACAAATACGGACGAAAAATTTAGTACGGAGAAGGGGTCAAAAATACAAAACTCATATGAATCCCCTGTGCACACACAACATATGGACTGACCCTTAATTTAGCAGGGTAGGGAAGAAGGGTGTAAAACATGTTGTTTTTTGCATATTTTATAAAAGTATATCCCATTGTCAAATCAACTCTGACATTCAAATTTGGCTACATTGACGGACATGTACATTCCGTGGATGATTTTAATGCTATCATCAATTTTGAATAGGCACTCCTTTTTCAAGACTTATTATTTTTTGAAATGCATTCTTAACTGCTCCATACAGTAGCGTTAGATTTTGACATATTCTATAAGATCTAGTAAGAGACATTTGAAATCTATTTTTAGAAGTCACTAAGCAGCTGTACAATTATAATACCCCAGTTTTGTTCCATCACTTCTCTTCCCATTCTCCCAATACAGCTTGTGGTATTTTTACCCATAATATGTTAACGAAAAGTAAAATCAAGCTCCCCGGCTTAAAGCAGAGGAGGGCAAACTGTGGCCTGCCATGTTAAATGTTAAGGCCCAAGAGATGTATCACAAATGAACTTAATTTTTTATTCAAATAGCGATTATTTTAATTTTTGGCACAAACGCACATTTTGCTATCTTTATTACATCATTTTTTTTTTACCGTTACACTCCACTTCTATGTACCTTACCCCATTTTGGAATGATAGATTGAAAATAGATTGAAATATGTAAAACATTTAAAAAAAAAAAAAAGTATTTATTAACTACTAAATTAAAAAGGATGTATGTAAAAAGAAAAAAAAAGCTAGGTAAGAGGAACCTCATTTTTCACAAGCATTACAATTAAGTCCAGAATGAAGCAAAACTATATTTAGGTATGTGCAAACATGCATCACTTCGCTGTACCATTTTGAGATGGTAATTTACTATTCTGAGACTAAATTGTACTATTATGAGAGTTCCAGGTCTGCTACTTTATCATCATACTAAGCTTAACTCAAAATTTCTTCCAATTTTGCTTGACCTGGGTACAATATATATAAATAATAATAGCGAATAAAGTAAAAATTTCAATGTCGACCAATAAGAAAGCACATTTTAAAGAAAATGTATGGTTTAGTGCAGGGGTCTCAAACTCACGGCCCGTGGGCCATTTGCGACCCGCAAGGTGATATTTTGCGGCCTGATACCTGATAGCAAAGTTCACTGTTAATGCGGCCTACTCAGCTGTATAAAAAGAAGCACTGCCAGGTCTATGGCAACAAGGAGTTTGAGGAAGTAAGTGAAGCCTCGTTCTCAATAACCTTTAATGTTTTTTTTTTATTCACAAAGATTGAGCAGATTGTAACAGCTGTTCTTTATTGAATTTGTAACCACTTTTTGTGTGGAACACTTGATGTGGCCCGGTCTCACTCAGACTCTACCTCCTGTGGCCCACAGATAATTTGAATTTGAGACCCCTGCTTTAGCGGAACAAATAGTTTCTTCCAGACTTATGTCTGGACATCTAAGTGAACCATACCAATAAAACACTCATAGTTGCATAGGCTAAGCTTTATATCTATACAAAAATGTCTAGGTAGCGTTGTAATTATATTGCATGAATTTTTCCCCCACCCCCGTCAAATTTTTCTCTTATCATATTACTTTAAAATACATTTTTAACAAATTTAAATTACTTTTTAATTCAAATGGTAAAAGTATTCATTGGATGCTTATCTCTTAAAACTCATGATGATCTCATTACGGTACTTATAAAAAAAATAAACATTTTGATGGAAAGCATTTTTACAGTCACATATTGATAGAGCTACGGCTAGCTTTGAAGTTTAATTATTGGGCAAGAATTTGTTTGTAGAAAACCTTTTTTGGTGCAAACTCTATGTTATTTTTTAAGTCACCATGTTGGTCAGTTCCTTAGACTTTTACTTTGAATTGCCTTAAAGGATTTTGTTCTTCAAAATGCAACATTAAATTGTCCATTTATTGGAGATGCCAAATAAATACCAAATGATTTCAGCATTTTTCTTTTGCTTTTGTTAATAGTCATAGCAAAAGCAAGTCTCAATGGAAACTGTTTTCCTCTTAATATAAAGGGAAGGTCAGGCTCAGTGGGTGCAAGAATAACTCTTCGAATAAATACTAAGGTATCTTTAAAAGATTTGGTAAGTATTTCAAAGTCGATGACTTTTGAAATCATTTGCTTGAGGACCATTATGGTGCTATTTCAAAGATCTTTTGTTGATTTAAGTTTTCGTAGCAACATTACTACTAAACCAGCTTTCAACTTACCTCTTTGAGGAGGAATATGCCTCCAGGTTTTAAGATATTAAAAATAAATAATAAATAGTTTGCTGCCTCCTCTGCATTTGCAGTGCATTGCTAAATAGAATCCATTCTGGTAGAGCATTTAAATTCAGACTGAATTCATGTAAGCACATTTTCATTAAGTTCAAGCGACTCATTATTTTTTTTGATCAGGCTTGCACAGTTAGCAATGACATATATTGATGGTACGTCCTTAAGAAAGACCGCGTTAACAATATATATATATATATATATATATATATAGGCTAATATAGGGAGACAAATGAAGTAGCTATGGACAACTAATCAAATGGTTTACTAGGCAGATCCTGCAATGGCAGTCTTCGCTGCATTTCTTGCAGGAGAACCTTGACTACAGACTACTACTGGTTACACTTTTATAAATGCAATTAATGTGCTTCGAAGTTACTTTTCATTTATAATAATAGAATACAGCCGCATTTTAAAAAAAAAAACTGATTAAATTAAAATATGGTCACAACATTGGCATCATCTGAAAATAATAATATTGTACTAAATGGGCAAAATGATTACAATCTACTACTAATTACTACAGACACCGGGATACTACAGCTACAACTGTCAACTACTAGAGACTAATGGTGGTGGCTTAAGGCCACTAGTGACAAATATAATTTACTTATAATAATATAATATAAATTAATTATAGTATAGTAAGCCCATAACTTTAGCAAATTATTATTATACTATCCTAAGTTAAGAAAATTATAAATTTTAGCAAGTTACGTCTAAGTAATTTAAGTAATAGTGTAATTGTAATAAAATTAATACTAATACTTAATTATTAAATTTAAATGAATAATAAGTTCATTTATAAGTAGGCCTGCCTTGCCTTAAGTCTAGGCTTAACTAATAATTACTAAATACTAAGTCTAAGTAACTAAGTCTTACTAAGTCTCTTACTAAGTTAATCTAAGTCTTACTAAGTCTCTTACTAAGTAAAGTCAGTCTAAATTAAGTTAATACTGTTAATGTTGATACCTACTTCCTCCAACTGAATATCTTCATTCCAGTTTCCCACACGAACAGAAGAATTATACGTCCGGACGTGTGCCATTTGTTTTCTTTACAATTAAAACACGGTGACTTGTAATTATAATTTTTGGGATAAGAAGTTACAGTAGGTCGAAGTTACTTCGTAAGTAACCCACTCAAAAGATAATGACAATATCTTGGTTGCTTGACAACGTTATTAAAGTTACGCAGTGAATATTTTGAGCACATGTGGCTCCGTAAATGCGGAGTGCAATCCAACTTTTATATCAGATTAGCCTGATAAGCACTAAATAAGTGGTTTATATTAGTAATCATGTAATAATTTATATGATAAAATTGCCAACTTTCTGAACACTGTGATAGTAAAACCTAATTGAAAATGTATTAACTTTGGTTAAAAAAGAAAGATTCTTTTATAGTCGAGACCGCTATTTATGCATATATATTTCTATTTAGAAAAAACAAACATCCTTGGGCGTGGGTCACGGCGGTTGGGGGGGGGGCGATGGATGGGGAGGGGACACGACCAATCTAATATAAATCAGTGGATGCATATTGATCTCAGACTCAAATCAGACTATATATATATATATATATATATATATATATATATATATATATATATATATATATATCACCTATGGCTAAAGTGGGTGCTGAATGGTATTAAATAAGCGAGTGATGAATAATCTTAAACTAACTGATAGAACGAAACCAAGCATCTATCAGGCATGTGTGCGTAGTACGCTCCTATGGCTATTTTGCAGTGAAGTGTGAACTACATAGCTTATATGTCAGTCATGAGCGAAAAGACAAAAGCTTCCATCAAAGATTTTACGAATATATAAATATACAATAAATGACATATATAGCCTACCGCTGATGGTAATAGTCCTTCTTGTGGATTAAGATCTCGAAAAAAAAATGTCTACTAAAGCAGATCAAATCAAGTGTTCAAACAAAATAGGCATACTCTCTGATACTACATCACAGCTAAGTGTTTTTTAAAAATTTAAATCTGTTTTTACTGTTGTTTTTTAGCTGACGAAGGCTTCTTGCTGACATGTTCTTTGTTTTGTTGAGTTCTATTTTTTCCAGGTTTTCCCTTACTTTGTTTAGCTCATTTCCACCATAGGCATAATTAAAGATGTCATTAATCACTGCAGTGGCATAGATAAAAAGGAGGGGGTGGGTGGGCTAGGGGATACTTCCAGTGGTCACTTTTGATAATTACCAAACTATAAAATAGATCAGATGTGTATGGGGCACAAATTTGTGAGTTCGTCCTGAATAGCAATTATCAAGTTACCAGAACTCAAATGGTTAAACTGCAACATATGAAAAGTCATAGCTTTTAAGTTGACTATTTGGATATATCCTTATAGGTTCAGAAGGAATATTTGGCTCCAGCTTCATATTAAAAGACTCTTAAAATGTACACTTGATATTTTTCATAAATTAATGCTTTAAATATTAGATGTAAAAATATGTAACTGTATACTAACAAGGTCAAAGTTTTAAAAATACTATTTCACTGTTTTGTGTGAAAAAAAGTGTGTGTAAGGGGGGGGGGGTAGCAAAGAGCCTTAAAATCGTATTAGCTTAATAGCTGATGTAAAAATATGTAACTGTATACTAACAAGGTCAAAGTTTTAAAAATACTATTTCACTGTTTTGTGTGAAAAAAAGTGTGTGTAAGGGGGGGGGGGGTAGCAAAGAGCCTTAAAATCGTATTAGCTTAATAGCTCTCGTTACCCAAATCCTGTCCTATTTAATTTTAAATGGAATGGATACAACTGTCCTAAAATAGTTGAAGTTGGGGGTTTGGGAGCGGGGCGGGGGTACTTTGTGACACCCGGATCTAGCACTGCTTACACAAAAGGCCGCAGTCATGGACCCCTTCTTAAAAGAAAAGAAAAAGATTTAAATCCCAGTCCATGTCTCATCTGATGAGTTTATTTGTTACAAAAATCTCTGCTTTTTCTATAAGGAATCACACTATAGGTCTACATAATTATAGCATACACTCCTCTTCAACATAGTCTAACGGCGGGATAAAAATTGTAGAGCATGCATTCAAGCCTTGTAAATGAAATAGAATGTGAAATCCTGAAAAAACGACGAAAGAAAACCAAAGGGACGTTAGCTGATCAAGTGTTTCCTTTAACTTCATTATGATTGTTCTTATTAGGCCTTCCCAGATCTTTCGATTTCATTGACGGACTAAAATTATGTCAGATATGACCACACAATTAAATTAGACGGATCCGTTCCTTTAGTTGGCTAACCTGATTTCTATTGGAATATTTTTTTAAAAAAATTCTTAATTTAAGATTATATTATTTTTCAATTGTTTGATAAATGCAAATTATGAGACTATTAAAAAGAAATATTTTAAATAGAACCATTTAAATTTTAAATTTTTTTGTCTCGTAAAATCTCGTAGATTTTGACGTATAAATAAGCGACAGCCATCTTTGGTGTTTTGATTAGATCACTTCGAGTTCAGTGTTTAATTTATTTAGTTGAGAGAAGAAAAAAATACAAATAGAAAATAAAAAGCAATGTCAGGCGCTTACTCTCGGTCAAGTGGACTCATTCAAAGACGCACTGCTGCTGTTAGTAGTACGCCTGAAACTAATGATGAAAAAGAAGAGAAATTGAATGGCGGTGAAGGGGATGAAGATCTCGACTCGAAAGAAACTCGCCTTACGTTGATGGAAGAAGTTTTGTTGCTGGGTCTTAAAGATAGAGAGGTAATAAGCATACCGTAACCGACAGGCGAAATATTTATAAATTATACGAATTGAATTGCTGGGGTGATATAAAGCCCTTGGTGAATTAGTTGGGGCAGTTACTATTAATAAGTATTAATTAATAACAACTGAGAGCTAGCAATCCCTTGCCTTATTTTAGGGTGAATTTTTATTTAACTCCGGGAAATAAATTAACCCTTTCGGGATGGAGCCTTTTTGGGGTGTCTGTGCCAAAAAGACTGAGCATTTTTTACGAACTTGGCACTCACATTGCAAAAAAAATTATTTAAAAAAAGCTATATACTTTACTACTGACTGTACTACTTAAGGTAATCTACTACTTGAGCGTTAGCCAAGAAAAATCCAGCTGTTCCGGTTGGAAGGGCTATTTAAAGAAATATTCTTATATTATTTTGAATGACATTGGTTGTACGTATTTATTCCCATAATAATAGCAATTTTTTAAAACTATAAAAAATTTTGTTGAAATGGAAGATAATGTATGAAAATGTAATTATGCATAATCCTCCCCGGTAAAAGTGCAGTTCAGGTGCGTATATTATTTTTGTTTGAATCTCTTATTTTCCCGTGTTAATTTATGTTAATTCTTTATAAAAAGTATTTTAAAAGTTATATACCATCTTTTTATTGGAATACAACAACAATTTAACAAATTTTACGAGATAAAAAAAGTACATTTTTATGAATCTTTCGTGTTTTACGGAGCCATTGTGGTAAATCAAGGATAACTCTTCTGTCTTTAAAGATACTTTATAAAAGTTGCCCAATTGGATGAATCTTGTTAAAATAAATGATGTATTTATTTTATAACTTTACTATCAACTATAACCGGAGTTGTCTGGGGCTGCATTCAGAAAAAACCATCTGCTACGTCCTTTTAGTTCACATTGTTATTAAAGGAAATGTCAACAGCAAAACAACAACACTATAGTAAAAATAATAATAATTAATTTGTCTCCTATTAAAAACAAGTAAAATAACTTATGTAAACCTTTTGTTTTTCCCGTTTTCCGATGGCACCCGGAAGGATCATGATGGGATCCCGAACCCGATGTGATTCCGATAGAATCCTGGTCATGGTGGGATACCGATCCCGGTGAGATCCATTTCTGGTGTTATCCCAAACTAAATGAGATCTTAATCCGGTGGGATCCCGTTTCCGTGAGATTCCGATCCCGATAGCATTTTGATCCCAGTGAGATCCTGATCCCGGTGGGATCCTGATCCAGTGGGTTACCGATCCTGGCGGGATACCGGTTACGGTGAGATCCCGTTTCGGGTGAGATCCCGTTTCGGGTGATATGCAGATCCTGGTAATTATGGGGAGCTCACATACTTGACATACGAACCCAGCTTACAAGCCACATTGCAATTGTTACGAGCGCCTTAGGAGAAATTCCAGTTGTATTAACGTTATTTGTTGCCCAACAAGGTGTGCGTTTAAACCAAATGCTGCACCATTTAAAAATGCCTGTTGCATCAACAATTTTAGTTATTGTTTCTTAGTCGTCCTGCAATTTTAAAAAAATGATCCTACAACCAGCAATACCGCAAAGCCAAAACGAGTCCGTCTTATAATATAAAAAAAATAATCACTAGCCCTCACTTTACTCAGCGCAAATCAGTCAACAGTAATAAGCGCATTTGCATACGAAAAAAGAGGAGGGGTGCTCAAATTAGAGCTGACCAATCACGGACAGCGTATTAGCAGCCTTCAGGGTGATCAGCTTCACACCAGGTCCAGGACAATGATGACGTGCGTGTCCACTGCTTAGTCAGTGATCCACTTCTAATCCCCGACTCGACTTCAAAGGACAACCCCCATCATCCGCGCTCTCTGAGCGGGAAAAAAAAGAAGAAAGTTTGGGGGGGGTTTTGAAAATTTCGTTTAGCATACTAACTTATAGGTGGCTAAAAATCTGGCATAGCGTAAAAAGAAAAATACAAACAAATGGGGGCTGTGTCACTTTGGTTGGGGGATGTTTAAAGACTCTTTAGAAGTAAAATAAAAAGAAAAGATGCGATTTATAATTCAGAATTAGTTAACTATAACTGCCTGTATTAAATTATTAAAAAATACACGTAAGTTTACATGTTAAAAAATTTTTAAAATACGAAATGCGCTAAGAAATAATATACGCACCTGAACTGCACTTTTACCTTCTCCCCCAAGTTGACAATGAAGTTTAAAAAAATATAATTCCCACGAAAATGGTTGTGGTACATGAATCCACGTAAATTTTAAGCTTGCAGAAAATTGAATAAGCTAATAAAATATTTAGGTATTTTGAAAGACGCACGCGCATCCCTTCTGCGCAGTCGAAAAATTACGGAAAAACTTTTGTAGCCATTTCACAATCAGCTGTGTGGTGTACTCGGATTTTTGCATTCTACGTCACAGTTTCCTCATTATACATTTGTTTTGTTATCGATTACATCAAATATTTGTCTTACGGTGATGCTCATACAATTTACCCAACGAGGGGAACCCCCGTTTTTTTTATGTCACTTTTTGACTATCGGTAAGTTGAAAGTGATTATAAAATACTTATTTGGAGCATTTCATACATGATTAAAACCCAAAAGCTCATGTTCACCATCTAATTTGGATTGCTAATAACTTTTAAATAGTCAATTTACCCCGTTCCGTTGAATTTTATCGCTCTCCACATGTAAGATCAACACCCCATCACTGGAAATAAAATGGTCGACTTTTTTTTTTTCACCAGGATGATGGAAGCGGCTCTAAATAACATTCAATAATAGTTTAATACTTTTGTCATCTTTAAACATCTGAATAAATCTAAAACAATTAGTAAAAGTTAGTTATAAAATTCATAGTAATGGATAAGATGGTACAAATAAATTGAAATTATGAATATTAAATTGATGGGAACTTGCTTTTTAATTAAAATAATACAAATCCGAGAACTACCTGCACCGGTAATAGTTAAGCTTAATTGGCGTAACACTAATAAACTAATACAATTCTATTACAACAACTGCAATTAAAGCCAAAATTTAAATAGTATTTTAAAATTAAATACGAAGTATCTACACGTCCGGCGCGCCGAACAAATAGTGCAGGAGATATACATCCGGCGGGCATGTCACGTGACCGCCGGACGACTAGTAGGCATTATTATTCGGGCAAGTGTGACAAGTGGTCGCCGCAAAATGGTTGCATTGCATTTGATATTCCGATCCCTAGATAATAAATAAATGCTGAACATGTTAATATATTCAAATTTAGGGGTGTGCCGGAATCCGGTTCCGCCGGATTTTGCACTATCCGGTGAAATCCGGTTCCACCGGATTTACATGTATCCGGAACAGCCGGAATCCGGAATATACCGGATTTCGGAATTTGCCAGATTTTGTGACTCACCGGATCATAATCTGAAATAAAAGTAATTCTCTTTCCCGAATTCCACACGATCACGATTGTTACGCTCTGACTTGTGTTGGGAGAAATTAATCTCCTATTTTAATTTTAATTGGCTTGTTGTAAGCAGTGCCTAACAAAGGACGATACCATAGAATCAACAATAATAAAGATACGACCCAAAACAGTTTCTAGTTACAATTAATAATATTTATTAATTCTAATTACAAAAGAAAAGAAAATATAATTACAATCTTCAACTTACAGTATGGTAGATCTTGTACCGGTACACAGTTAACACATAATAATGTGCCAATAAATAATGCGAAATAAACACATATAAGCTCACAAATACACAAAGAATAAAACACGGGACTAAGCCACACCCCTTTGTGAACACAGCGTCTCATGCGGGGTCAAAAATATTCCGAACATACCAGAGGCTAGAGTCAGCACCGCTAATAGTGGCCAATAGTACCAAAATCCGGAATCCGGGAGAAACCGGAATCCGGATCGGATTATTCCGGAATCCGGATCCGGCGGATTTCACATAAGAAAATCCGGATCCGGTGGGACAAAACGGATCCGGCACACCCCTATTCAAATGCTCTGAGATACATAAAGTGTTTGACTGAATATTAAACCAGTTGGCCTATATAATAACTAGTAGTACTATTACTACTACTATTACTAGTCTATTTGATTCCGACTCTTCAAAGAAAAAAGTCCCTTATCTTGGTTAATACATCTTGTAAAGCTCTACCTTGAAGCCTAAATTTAAAATATGAACAAAATAAAATAAGACCAGTAGACTTCAATAGACCTATGTCAAAAAAGTTGTATCGAATTTCAGGATTAGTATTTAGTGTTGCAGGAGAAGTAGGCTAGGCTACCACCTTAAAATTTATTATTTAACGCCCTCAATATTATTTTTTTGCATTCGTTTTTTTATCACCGTAATTCTCTCTCCCTCTCAGCATTGCTTCCTTCCAGTATGCGTTATTGCTTAACCCCCACTTCGATTTGGTAATATACCCAAGTATTTTTTTCTATTATTTGTTTGCAAGATACTCGGTAAATAACTTGGTAGAGATATAGATTTTAAAATTAACAATAGTTTTAAATCATTCGTGGTCACGTGACAAGGCTGACGGACAAATATCTCGCGCCACTTTTTACAGCGGTCATGTGACTTGGTCGCCGGACAAATAGTGCGGGAGATATACGTGCCGGATGTGTAGACTCTGCCAATTAAATAAGGTATTTAATCATGAAATTTAAAATATTGTTAAGTACTGGTAATGATATGACATAGAATTAGAAAAACAATGTCTAATTATTTAATTATTAATAATAAAATAAAAACGAAACTAGTTTTAATAAAGTTAATTAACGCATAATGTGAATAATAATTTATATTAAAAAGAAATTGTGTATATTTCAGGATTATGATTGAATATATTATGTTTTTTTTTAAGGCTTTTTCAGATGCAAGAGAAAATTTTCTATTGCAGAACTCGGAATTCCTTCCATCAACGAACAAGGAGGCACGTTTGAATGTAGATGAAAAGGATTTTGAGTAATTTTTATTTATAATTACATTACATGCATTCAATGTTATAGAAACAAACTACTCATCTTTTTATAAGTAGAAGAATTGATTTAAAATTTAAAACAAGCATATAATTAGTTAAAATCCAATAAACAAGTTAATTTTTTTTATTTGTCAGTAATAATTTTTCTGTTCACATTTTTCTTAACATACCCTCAAATAAATTTTTTCAGAACACAAAGTACTGATGTTATTTAAAAGTTGTGTGGTTCATTGTGTTGTACATTGGATTAAGAATGTCTCCTGAAAATTTGGTAGCATTGTCTTTAAAATAAAAAAGTTGTGCGCAAAGTAAAGCAGATATTTGGAAAGTCGGTCACAGGTTTTCACAGTTAAATACAAAGATAATTAAGGGGGTATAAAAAATTCACCAAAAAAAATCATAACTTCGTTTCTATAAAATCTAGAAAGATGAAATTGGTCTTTTTGCAAAGCTTATAGCTAGCCATTTAAAATGATAAATCATTTATGGCAATGTGACAATATTGAAAATTTCTGTCAAAGTATCTACCGTACAATATTTATAAATCAAACTGAAATCTCAACATTTATGCAAATGAGCTCTTCTGATTTGCATAATTTATGCGTTTTTTGTGTTAAACTGAGAAAAAACATGAATTACCGGTGTAAATTGTGTGAATTTTTTGATGGATAGATCCTAACACATGTGTTTTGGGAAATGAGGCCCATGGAGGCCCTTCATACACCCCTGGCATAGAGTTCTACTCCTTTTCCTGTCCCCGGTTTACTTTTGGATTGGTACAGACAGAGCAGTCCTTTTCATCATTGTGCACCCAGTTATCGTTTATTTGAGCTGGGTGTTACTGAGAAAGCTGTCTGCATACTTATTAGTTGTTATTAGTCTCTCTTACAAACATTTGAATGATTTGTTGTGTAAAATTTAGCATAAAGTACTCAACTGGGGTGCTTATTCCATAAGGCATATTTATAGGCTCTATTTTTTCTAAAAATTCATAGGGGTCATCTCTATCCAATTCTGAACCCCTAATCCTAAATCAAGGAATTACAACATTATCTTAAACAGAATCAGTTTGATTGTCTTCATTACTTTCCTGGTTGTTTTCATTGACAGACAGCGAGAAATCAGAATCACTAAGCACAATTTGATCAGTCACTGTCAGACATGACATGTTCGAATTTTACGATATAACTATACACACACACACAAAAATTCTGCACACAAATAAATTTAGTTCACCATCAACGAATGCTGCCATTACAATCACGGGATGTGCAGGAATACGTAAGAATAAATTTGATTCGCTGGTACATGCCAAGCCAGCTAATCACTAGTCTCGATTTATCTGGCCGATGGTTCGGACTTTTGTCTTTCTCGCTTGTCCACCTCAGGCCGATAGCTCAGCCCCTATGTCCCTACAGTGTTAAAACCTTTAAGTGGTTACTATAACATGTACTTTTAAAATGTACTTATTGTTTCCAATTAGTTCGTAATGTGTTTTCGGTGGTTTTAAAGGGAAATTTTAATCTAAAACATGCTTTAAAAAAATCAGGCGATCAGTGAGTTTGTTTATGGTCTATTTAGCTGAAGTGTGGCAAGATTTTTTCACATTTTTCCAGTCTCAGGACAAAGGCAATAAACATGTGGCATATTGTTTAAATAAGTTAAAAGAATTTGGTAATAAAGTAATATTCAGAGGCATGAGAGTACAATGGGCTCATAGTCATAGTGTCATATGATTCATGATTAAGTAGATGTACTAACTGATGGTTTAACCTCAGCCCTTCCTGCCACAAGCCCCTACACATACTCGAATACTTTTTTGTACAGTACTAGGAACAAGGTAATTTTTTTTTTTTAACTTTAAAAACTTAAAGTTTGTCATGTTATACCTCCAGTGTTTCTTCTCTTTTCTAATGGATTTCCAACCTTGTATATTAATTACCAATCTCTTGCAGACGGCATCGGCATAGGAACATTATTTCAGTTTTTTATGGGCTAACACTTGGTGGGCTTGTTGAGGCTTTTATTATGGGAGGTGACACAGTATATAGCAATTTTAATAAAACCTGGGGGGGGGGGGGGGGGGGTAGGAGGCAAATACCCAAATTAAGTCTGGCGGGGATTAGAAACAGTGAACGCACAAGAGACAAGTGATCAGACAGGCGAGAGACCACGGGTACAAGTGAGCACATAGCCAATTGAACCTTTAGACGAATTTGCCTAATGTCTAAGTCACATGGCCTAGTCCAAACTCACGTCCACCTGTTAGGGGTACACACACAGTCTGCAACTAACATTGGAGACGACCACTGTGCATACCAGACCCAAGACTGTTAACATTGGAGACGATCACTGTGCATTGCATACCAAACCCAAAACTGTTAACATTGGAGACAACCACTGTGCTGACCAGTTAATTGAAGAACATCTTCTAACACCATACATTTGAATATTTTTTCTGGCACAAGAAATAGTGAACGTTTGGAAATTTGACAACCGTAAACCGATACACGGGGAAGGTGCTGCCTACCCCTTCCTAAACAGAAGCATGGCAAGGCTGTGGAGACCATGTCTGCGGCTATGCCAGCTCTTATCCATAACGTCATATCAGAGAATGACCAACCTGGGAAATAGCCCTGGGCAAAAGATGTGAAGCGCATGACTTGGCTATGCAATAGAATTCCAACATCAGAGAGCAACCAATGTCCAAGCGTTGGTTGACATGTTACATATCCTCATAATGATCAGACCTAGGAAACGTTAGGAGCGGACCAGGGATTATGTTACAAAATGTAAACCAAAGACATGGTAGGTGTTCGTGATCTTCTCGTACCGTAACAGCTAGGAATGAAGAAGAATGCCCTAGTGTCTTAGCAAGGTTTAGTACCACCTAGTGCTGGTTGAACGTGTGCCGCCCACTACCATTAAATTTAAAAAAAACATCAAAAACTCTTCACTTGGCCTAAAATGCTGCCCCTCCATATAAAAAAAAAAGTACCACCTGTGATGGACCGCTCCTTCACAGCCCCCTTAATATGCAAATGGAATGACTATTTCTTGGCAGTTGTTGTCATCTAATAGTAGGCAAATCTGTTTAAATGGTCTTTATAGGTGTTTAAATCAGCTTAAATTTGATAGGTGGGACTTAATTATTTAGATGACACCTAAGTTGACGTCGATGTGTTAAATGAGAGGCACTGTTAGGGATTTTATATAATTAGTTTTTTCTGGTGTTCAATTCCCTATTGCCGTATATTTCATTACTTTCCCCATTTCAGCTCTTTGTAAAACCTACAAAATCGTCACAAATATTGACACCCTTGTACCACAGAGGACCACCTTTACACAGCCCTGCAAGGATGTTCCTACATATTCAAAGATGCCTAGAACATGAGATACTTATATATTTAAACTTGTGGAAACCCACCACTTGTTTCAAAAGAAATATTGGACACCTAAACATAATTAAATAAAGCTATAAAATAAATACATTTATTTAAATCTACATCCAATTGGGCAACTTTTAAAATGTATCTTTGAAGACAGAAGAGCTCTCATACAGAAGAGCTGCTCCCCATCGCGACCGCTCAGAAGCAAAAATCTGCAAATAACACTACATCCATTACTCTCTCAGGTGTGCGTATTGAGTTAGCTCAAACAGTGCGGTACCTGGGTGTCTACCTAGATGGAAGACTAACTTTTGAAAGTCATATTAACATGCTATGCAAGGCGATTTTTCTAGAGCTGCGCAGGATTAGTCACATCAGGCCCTTCCTAACAATTGATGCAACAAAGAGGCTGATGTCTGCATTTGTGCTATCACGCATGGACTATTGCAATGCTCTTATGGTGGGTCTTCCAGCTACGCTCCTGGATAAAATTCAAATAGCACAGAATAATGCGGCTCGCATTGTTCTCCGCAAACGCAAGTTTGACCATGCAAAAACACTTCTGAGAGAGCTGCACTGGCTGCCAGTGCGTGCTCGCATGGAGTACAAAATCGCAACTTTGTGCTACCGCTGCTTACATGACCTGGCGCCGTCCTATCTGAAAGAGCTGCTGACGCCTTATGTACCCACTAGAGAGCTCCGCTCATCCGATAGTGGCAAACTCTCGACACCACGTGTTTGCCTTGAGACTTACGGAAAGCGCACTTTCGCATTTGCTGGTCCAACAATTTGGAACGCCCTTCCTGTCGATCTTAGAAACAACCAGACACTGGAGTCCTTTAAAACCGATCTAAAGACACATCTATTTCGCAAATACCTTCTGGGATGATTGTCTACCTTATTTTCCATGTGTTGCTGTGTTGCTCCAGGTTGAAATGGCTAGAAAGACTTTGATATTGTATGCTTGTAATTAGTTTTTGTAGTGTTGCGTTTATTTTAAATGTGGTGAATTATAGATATTTTTTGTTGACTTTGTACCGCGCTTCGAGCCTTTGGGGATGAAGCGTGTTTTTGAAATGAACTTTATTATTATTATTATTATTATACATTTACCCCAATGGCGTTGTGAAGTAAAAGACAAAAGATTTATGAAAATGGAAATTTTTAAAATTGTATACCAACAAACAGAACGTTTAAAAAATACTTCTAATGAAGTGAAAATGAAGTTTTTTTATTTGTTTCACTAAAAATAATTGGGCTAAAACAAGGGTCTTTATCATATTTAATGCCTTTGCCATTTATTTGACTTACTTAAAATTGGGTACCTAAAATTGGACTTGGATGAGGAGAGAGGTCATGACATAGTACTTATTATGATTAATAAATAATTACTAATAGGTTAATCTACTACTTCAGCATCGGTTATGAAAAAAATCCTATTACGATTTTAAGTGCTCTTAAAACAGTTATTTTATTGATAATGATTTTGTGGTAACAAAAAATAAAAATATTACAGTACCCGGTATCAGACCTGTTTATCCTCAAACCCTTAAAATCATACAATATCATCACAATACCTTATATTTATAGTAAAAAATAAACCTACAGTATATATGTTTACACCTCAAAATCGTACATTGTAAGCCAAAATTTTAAGAGTAAACTGGTCTGCGGTATTTAACTATTTAGAGCAAACTTCAAATTAAAAAAATTAAACCGTAATAAACTTTCTCTAGCTTTGGTAATTTTTAAGCTATGCAATTTTTTAAAGTGCAAGTTTGTTTGGTATTTTTACTATGGACTGCACCTCCACTTTTTGTGACCCCAGTCCGCTTATGGTATCATGCGCTATAACTCTTATTTAAAATGTAATTTTATACTTTTTTTCTGGATTAATATTACGAGGTATTAAAAGTTATAATTTTAAAGTTAATTTTAACAATAGTGTACCGGTACAATTGAATCATATATATATATGTGAAAGTTTGTTTGTCTATCTGTTTGTTCCACAAAGGCTTTTACATGGATTGATGGATCTTGACCAAACTTGGCATATATATCCATCATTATCCAGAAGGAACTCCTAAGGGGTTATGAACTTTTTATAACATTCCGTTGGGGGCCTGGGGCCCCAAATTCGTTTTTTTCTTTATATGAGCTATATAATTAAAGTTAACAACAAATACTCCTATGAGTAAATGGATCTTTCCAAACTTAGTACACAGACACTTTATTATCGATATTAAAATACCGAAGGGTATTGAACTCATATAAGCCATATAAAATATCAATAGGCTTAGACAACACAATAGTTTATATGTGAATTGATGGATAAAGGCCTTGCCTTGTAGCAATACCCTTTATTGTCAGTATTGAAATGTCGGTGGATTTAAAACTAATAATATCCATTCTAGAATTTTCAAGAAAGTTCGATTATTTAAAAAAGCTATATCTATGGCATTTTTAAGTAGATTTTAATGAGACCAACTTTAAATTTTAACTCTATTATTTATCTGTCTGATATTTGTAGGGCCCCCTATCGCAGACATAGCTAAAACCGTGCAGTTGTGGAATGGGCTCCCCGGGGCCCCTTGATTAACTTAAAAGAAAAAGAATTATAATTATGTCATTTGATGAAGATTTTTATCGGATTCAAAAAATAATTAGAAAAGTACCGATAGTTTTTACACACGTTTCGAGCAGGTTATTAAATTTAATCTAGAATATTCCAGAAAAGTCTAAATTGTTACAAGGAGATATATAGTGGGATCTAAGGGAATATTGAAATGTTGGTTAGTTCTATTCATTTCTATACTGCCCTGGTGTTTACTGTTCTCTCAGTATCACTGAAGAATTTTTTGATACGGGATCCCAAATGGGTCAGGATCCCATCATAACCTTTATTTTTCATTAAAATGTTATAGTATATTTTGTGTTAACACCGTAAGCAATCGAATAAGAATGACAGTGATTGGCCTTTGTGGTCTTGGTCGCAATAAGCCAACCAGAATATTTTTCTATTTGAGAGTGCATTAATTGTTAGTCTAATACTTTACTGCCCATATGTCATCTATTTTTAGCCATACTGTTGCTTATTGATTAAATTTGGCCTCATTGCAGTTATGCTAGTGGTTTCCCCTTGTTTGCGCATGAGCTTTTCAAGTTTCGAATGTATTCGTATTTTTTAAATAAAAATGAAATTTCGTACGGTAATACGGTACTGCCTTGGAATTTATTTCAGTTCAGGTTCACCTATCAACAAATTTAGGGGTAAGTAAAGTGTACAATTATTATAATAATTATTTCAATGTAGTTTTTCTATCTTATAATCGTTAGTCTTTTGAAATATAATATTATCATAATTATTTCAATGTAGTTTTTCTATCTTATAATCGTTAGTCTTTTGAAATATAAGAAAACTATGTTCTATGTGAACTATTTTGTCCGATGATAAAAAATAAAATGGTCCATCTATTGTCTACTAAGGCTAACTTTTTACTAAGCTTAGCCCACGTTTTATTCGGCTTTAAGGTAAGCCTAATTATAATAAAAATACTCATTTGAATAATAGCTTCAGTATGAGCTGTAGTTCTAACCTATGCAAGTAGAGGAATTTGGTTTTGAAATTTAACATATGATATGTGACTGCTTTACTTTAATAACGTTAATAATAATTAATATACCTTTGTTAAAAAAAAATGTATCTACAAATTTAAAATCTAGCCTTTAAATTAAATAAAGGACTAGGACTAAGTTATTTTATTAAATTATTTTTCATAGTTCAATAATAATAGGGCAAAATTAGCTTTAAATGCCCCCATTTAATTTCTGATAGTTCAAAATTTTATTGATACCTTTTCCTCTGTACTTCTTTTGCTCAGTCCTACGTCCCTGCATAGGCCTGTTTTAGGATCTCTACCATATTAATACTGGTATAAATAGTATGATAATCTATATGATGTATGACCCTCTATAAGCCTAATATGATAATATTTATATATTAATTATTTTATGTTTCTATATTCAGTGTCTAGGGTTAATAGCCTAGTTAATAATAACAGAACAGCAACAACCATTAAAGACTGATGATGGTTCAGACTGCAACCAACCTTTAAAGACTGATAATGGTTAGGAGAGCAACCAAGGTTGAACAAGTCATCACTGCTACACTGTACTAGATTTGATACCAAGCATATTTGCAGGACAGTCCTCATATGCCATCTGGAGGCAAAAGGTTTAAGAAAAGTCAATCATCTTTATCAGGTGTCCACATCTTGAACTTCTCAGTAAAGCTCTGAAGTTATGTGACCAATATGAAACCCTGATTACAGATATTTTATAAAGACTAAAGTGTTTACTCTTACTGTTCATTTTCCTCGCAAGAAAAAGGAAATTAACTCCATGTATTGAAATATGTTTTCTACTTTTTGTAGCTAAATAAATACATGTTCTAGAATCCCACAGAACTTGACACATTGGTAAACTTTTTCAAAACTTAGAAAATCAAGGCAAAAAACCTAATTCTTTTTTAGTAAATTGATGAAAAATTTTCAATATTGATAGGAAATTTAATAAATATTTAAATGTTTGCACCTTTATTGGTTAATTTTGTTGTTTTTTTGCGTTTCGATATTGTTTTTAATTTTACAAATTTACAAAGTCTGTGCAGTCAGTGCCTTTTGTGGTTGCCTAAGACCTTTTCAAATCAAAAGACATAAGCAGTTGAGTTGTTATTCTGTATTTTGATTGCAAACCAGCAACCCCCCACCCAACCACCCACCCTCTAAACTCCTCTTAAGAGCTTGAAACTACATTTTTGAGTGCTGAAAACTACTGACTCCCAGTTTTCCTCCCACCTTCAATACCAAAATAAGAAACAAAATAATCAGGGGGGGGGGGGATGACACACGACTCATCCACAGAACTCCTCTTCACACTTTCAACAATATAAAATGAGAAAACAAAAACTTGCATTTATTAAACAAAAAAACCTATTAAAATCGAAATCCTTTAAATATGAAGCCATAGATGAAAGTTGTCCTGGGGGAACCTCCATGACCTATGTACTGTGGAACACATGGTCCGCCTTACAAATAACTAAAAATCTTTTTAATGGCTACTTTTTTAAAATGGCTGCCATATTTGAACAAACCTATGTTAGAACAAATCCCCATTTCTAATTGGCATCTCTAGGACTTACTACCAAAAAATTAAATCAATTTTAGTCCGACCAAACTTCCATGCGACCAAACTTCTGTTTGTCCAAAATTCCATTCGACCAAACTAATGTCAATCAATTTTCAGTCAACCTAGATACTTTGATACTACTCTGCAAATGTACTTTGCATGTCAAAAAAATTTGATAAAACTTGTTCTATGGCATAAGGCTATGGATTTTTTGTGTGGAAAAATTGTATTATGTCACATTTGTAAATAATAGCTCCCTCGTCAGTTCTGCTGTTCTGGGGATTGTACCGGTATGAAATATTTGCTACAGGTTTTTTGGTGTCACGGACAAGATTATGATAACGTTTCGGTAAGCATATGGCTTATATCACAAATAGGGTGAATAAAAAGGAAGAGATCATTCCAGGGTTAAGTACCATAGGTGGGTGTTCAAAGACAAGTTAGCGCAGTACAATTGAGTGTTACTGGTAGTTAATTATTACTACGGGGTACCTAGAAATAAGTTAATAAAGAATAAATATAAGTTTACATGTGAAAATATGAAATTCACTAAGAAATAATTTACCCACCTTAACTGCACTTTTATCCATTAATTTCATGGCGAACATAAAATAACTTTATTGTATCACTATCACTCTATCTTTATCCTGCTTACCTGCACTATCACTGAACCTCAGCGCTTCACGTGTGCTAGTTTGTTACTCTTAAATGACAAATGGAAAGCGTTAAAAAGAAGTACCAGTAGAAGAATACGAATTATTTTTAAAATACCTGCATTGAAAATATTGAAAATCCAACATCATCAATCTGTGGTTACATTTAGAAACAAAGGGCGGCTCACTCATACAAAGAAATATGTCAAACGGGTCATGACCCTTGTCCACTTCATCCGACAAATTTGTTATTAATGTTAATGTGTTGATGCACAATATATTCAAGACTTTCTAATTCCATCCTTACTCTTTGGGTAGGTGAATTTCGGCAGTTAGACTCTGATCATCAAAGGATGGCAAGCAGTCATTAAATTTTGCATTTTATTTTTATGCCAGGGTTATTAGCTAAGCCACAGAGATTTTGTAAGCATTCATTGCTTTAAAAAAAAAAAACGACATACTATTATGTAGAAGAAAAAAAAAGATGTTCTTTTGAAGATGAGATTTAAGCACAATATTTTCTTAAATTCATTTCACAAAGAAAGTGTGCAAAAAATATTTTTAAGAAGTTAGAATATAAAATAAAAAAAAAGCAACATATTTCAGTTTTTCTTCATTTAATTGAAATTCATTAGCTTCATAGAGTGCCTTACTACCCTTCTGCACATAATTTAGAGGATTTTAGAGATGGGCTAATTAAATGGAAGTGTAAGACAAATGCAGAGAGGGATGAAAAGAAGGAATAAACGTGCCATTTTGGTACCTGTATTAAGATTTGCTCCCCTTTTTTTAAGAAGAGCGCAACACCCAAAATGATTTAAAATGCTTAAAATATATTTTAAAAAATATTTTTCTAGGGGTACACATCATTTTGGAATGACTGCATATCATCTGGATTAAGAGGCTGTATTCTTATTGAGCTTTCACTGAGAGGAAGAGTGGAGTTGGAGAAAGCTGGGATGAGGAGACGAAGTCTGACCAACCGCAAAGTAATATGCAAAAATGATCAACCCACAGGAGACGTTTTGCTAGATGAGGCTTTAAGACATATAAAAGAAACACAACCACCAGAAACAGTACAATCATGGATAGAATATTTAAGTGGTAATACGAAATTCCAACTGATATAATATTATGCAAATTTAATTATTCTATGGAAATATAACCTATTACATGCATTTTTTTGACATTTCAAGTTCATGTTTAATTTACTTCAAAAATTATTGTTTTCATTTTATTAGAATTTTTAAATCAAAAAGTATTGGCAGCAAATAATGATTTTTTTTAACTATAGTAAACTTTGGTATTAAACAATCTATATATATATGGCATCCTTCCTTCTTCGCGAGACGATGGAGTAGCTATGTAGTCCTACACTTCGACGAGTGGCTCACAAATTAAACCATCTAATTGTATGGTAAACAAGACAGCTAAAAAATTATCAACATTCATTTTATTGACCTTTAATTCCATTTACTACTGGATTTCCTAACCTGCTATGAAGTATCAAATTAAATTGTATTTTAACTTTTTTAAATAGTTTATTTTGAATTCAAAAGTATTAAATATTAATAATGATATTTTTTAGTTTGTTTAAAAATGAACCAGAAAAGCCAGTAAATTTTAAATATATTTTTAGTCTATGGAAGAAGGCTGAGAATATTAAAAACTTTCATGACTATTTTCATTGTCTAATTTGCTTAAGAGAGTGATTCGTTCTTTTCAACATTATCAACTGGATCTTCTATTCATGTTAGGTTGAACATCTTTTCTGATATTTAATCTACCGGTACCTAATAATTATTTTAAGTTCAATCTTTCATTCACAGTTTTAAACTATGTCATGTACTGCCTTTTTCTTTACAACCAATCCCCCTCCTCTACTGTCATTACACCTGTAGTACATGGAGGTTTTCCTTATACTCTTTATATTTGACTCGACCATCATATCTCTAATAAGCAGTGATTGTGATTTATACTTGGTCAACATATTCATTAGGCGAGTTAATGAAAAGAAAAATCTCATAGCAAATAAATATTTTGATACCCTGTACCCGGTAATCATTTGAGAAGGTAGCAAAGGGGAGATTTTGTTAAAATCTGTTATTGTTACTATTTTATACTAATGAGCAACATATGAATATAGAAGAAAAAATATCCTAGGTGAAATCAGTTACCTGTATCAATATAATTAAGTGGTATTTTTTTAATTGAATTAAATTTTCTAAATTCAGCTACTGTTCTTAATTGTTGATTGTTGACCCAAATTTGTATGAGGCATATTACAACACTGTATTAGACATGAAAATGTATCAATGTTTGTAGATTTAAAAAGAGGTGACATAAATAATTGTAAAAACGCATATCTTTTAACTGTACAATTATTTTACTAAAAGATTAAATTTTTTATATAATTTCAAGGAATTATAATTTCTTATTCACTGGGAATACCGGTATCATAATAAGATTTTTACTTAAATTTTTACAAGCTATATTTTTCAATTGAAAAGATAATTTAATGCTATCCTAAGTAATTAATTGATATACCTGTATATAATTACTAGTAATTTTAATTTTTTTAAAATTTCAGGCGAAACATGGAATCCACTCAAACTGCGCTACCAGTTACGTAATGTAAGAGAACGCCTGGCTAAAAATTTGGTGGAAAAGGGTGTTTGCACAACAGAAAAACAAAACTTTCTGTTGTTTGATATGACCACTCATCCTCTAACAGACAATGTTGTCAAACAGAGGCTTATAAAAAGAGTTCAAGATTCTGTGCTAAGTCGCTGGACCAATGATGCTCATAGGATGGATCGTCGCATGTTATCACTGATATACTTAGCTCATTCATCTGATGTGCTAGAAAATGCATTTGCCCCTTTGTCTGATGATGACTATGAGGTGGCTATGAAGCGGGTGAGAGAATTGTTGGATCTGGACTTTGATGCTGAAAGTATGAAGGAGGGAACAAATGAACTAATGTGGGCAGTTATCAGTGCTATGAGCAAGTGATTTAAATAACTTCTATGCGTGCTGATATCATTAAGTTTCTTCTACTTCTTGGTCTTTTTTAGTGGGTTTCTTATATCATGTGATTTTTAGATCTATAAAGTGAGAATAAGATCAGATTAAATTTTTGTTTCTGAATATGTTTTCTTTAATGGATTTGTCATATTTGATGATTACCCGGTACACAATATAAAATGTACCGTACCTATTGTACCATATATCTAAATATAGTAGATACAAATAAATGTTTGAGGAAAGCTCCTTATTTATTTTATTTCAATTGAAACAATCAATAGTGCTTTCTGCTTAAAGCCATAGCAATATTTAGAGAGAGAGTGGGGTATGTTTGCAAAAGTTAGAACCAAAGCAAACTGGTAATTTTTAAAGGTATAAATTATAAAAACAAACAGAAAGGCAGAAGTAAAGTACAAGTTTTAGAAGCTGATTGTTATAATAATTTTTGGTATTGTTCAAATCTATAAATTTTTGCATCAAGTTAGTGCAAGTGTTTATTTTGGTCACAAACAATAGTTTTTCTCAAATTGTTTTTGTTTTTTTGATGATAGCTTCAAAACAATAAAGTTTGGAGAGATTTCACTGTTTAAAATTGGGTAAATAATCATAGCACTAATAGCACCTGTTTTTTTTTTTTAAATGAACTGTGGAACAAGAGTGTTCAGGCTTGAAAATAAAATAAAAGACAATTAAGCAGACTTTTGGGGAGATGCCTTCTTAAGCAGACAGTACAATTGCAATGCAATAAACAGCAGATAAAGTTAAATTAAAAATAAATATTATATTTTTGAAGATCTCAGTAAAGACATTGTAGTTCAATGTTCATGTTATTGTCTTATCTTTTATTTTAAATTTAAAGCCAAAACATATCTTGTTTAACTATTTATTTACTGTAGTGCTACAGGGCTTGAATGCAGTCCCGTATACCGGTATATACATTTTTTGGCAGACGAAAATTATAAATAGTAATTTTTGCTAATATCTTATAAAATATAAAAGTAAATGCTGAGTTGATATACATTATACCGGTACTAATGAATATGGAACTAACATATTTGTAGAAGCAATTATTTCTGAAACCCAAAGTTACCCAGGTGTGGTCCCTGCAGAGGAAAAGACACAGTTCTCAATCAGTAAATGAGGACCAATCAGGGGCTGTTAATACATTACTAAGCAAAAAACTTACATCCCCCACCCCCCGGCCATAAACTTCTGTATCCAGTAGGAAAAATTCCAAAATCAATAACTGTCCTTTCAGTCTCAGTGTGTATATTAAATATGAATGGTCCCTAAGCAACATTAAATATTTTACAAACTGCCTTTTATTTGCGTTAGCTTAGGATTTTGAGTTCTTTTAGAAAAATCCTGTTACTTGTAAATTCTGTTTAACAGAAATTTCGTCGACAGAAATTTGATTGAACGAAAGTTGGTCAAATTTTTTTTTAAGTTCGCATGATCAAATTTTCGATATTTGAGGAGTGAACTGAAAATAAAATTCAACCAAATTTTCGTTGGATCAAATTTCAGTCATGAAATTTCTTTCAAACAAATTTCCGGATACGGTAAAATCTTATTCAATGATTTTCGCAACTAATGTTTTCTTCCAGCTCAAGTTGGAAGGTAATATACGGTACTCATAATTTAACTGGTTTTATAGATAGGAGCTAACCCTATTAATTAACCTCAGTATAACTAGATTGCAATGTGATTTCATACTCAGATGCAATTTTATTTTTTAATGTAGATTACTAAATTCATTCCCTCCAATATTCTCTAAACTCAGTGATCCTTAAACTTAAAGAGGAAATGCTATATGTATTTGAAAATAACCCTGAAGCATAACAAATTAAGTTTATAGTTTATAAAGAATGTCAGCTTTTGTTTACACAAAAATAGCTTTTCAATGAATCAGAATAGTTTTTAGATTTGACTACTGGTACTGGGATACTGCGGGAGTATTACAATTACAAGGCACCCTTGTAAATAGGCATAATGTTCTAAAACCATGGGGATTGGTACAATTTTGGAGGCACCTAATAAATCTTTGTAAAAACCTTTACGAAATTAATGTAGTGGCTTTGTTTCCTTTCATTCCTATACATTACACTTTTGTACCAGAATATTGTCTTCTAATACTTATATGCTGCAACATTGGGTTTATTAAAAATGCCGGTAACTTGTTTAGCAATGATGTGTTTAGACACCCCACTTTTTCCAACTTTATACTTTTAACTGCTGTGGACAAGAAGAACAAATACTAGCACTAACACTATCTTGTAAAGGTTATTGAACATTTCCTTTTTTCTTTATTAAATCTTACCCGTCATAATAAAATTACACTACAAACTAATTAACATCTTTTAGCCTACACATTTTTTCTTCCACCTCTTCTCAGTGAAAAGAAGACAGTTGGGGAAATGATTATCTAAATTTGAACAACTAGTTCCAATAGTTCCTACCCCCATACTAAAATTAAAAAGCACATTCTGCTGTTCATGAAAAATATCCTTTTTTCAATTTGGTTAATTTTTTTATCTGTAGTTTAACTTTATATTTAGTACCGTATATAATTTTGTACATGAAATTTTCAGACTATACAATTATTGTTTGCATTTAATAATTTCCCTTCACCTTATTATTCTCAAAACAATTTTGGCTGTCATTTGCATCAGTTTGTTGTGTTTTTCCATGAAAGCTTAACCTACGTCCTAATTTTTTTAGTTTAGTCTTGTTTGGTCATTTTATTCAAACTGTGTTAAAATAAAAAAATATGTAAGAGGTGTGCATTTGTGCCAGATGTGTGAAAACTTGCTCATACTGTAGTTGTGGAAATTACATTGGGCTGCAGTTTAAGCCACCTGTGATTAGCTTATATCTGTATCATTAAAAAAATCATTTACTTGTACAAAGTGTAGATTATTGATTGGGCCCATTCTTTTATTATCATATGGTTTCAAACTGTCATATGGATTGTCATATATTTTCTTGATGGTTATTAAACCTTGTTTATATTTTAAAATATTGAATTCATCCTCATTTGTGTGATTGTTCACATCAGGATATTTTGAAGAAAAAATTCTGACAGCAGCAAGTTTAATCATTTTCATTAGTGAAAGGATATCATAAATCATTAATTTGCCCAATTTTTAAAAAAAAAAAAGGTTAGGAAGTCTATTTTGTTGATCATAGCATTTATTGGAAAATCATTATTTTGTGATTATTATTATTATATTTATAATCCTTGACATTAACAGCTGATCTTGAAAGGAAAATAAAGGCAATGGAGATGAGATGCTTCAGAAGCATTCTTGGCATCTGCTATAGGGACCATATCTCAAATGATACAGTGAAAGAAAGGGTTCGCCAGGCAATTGGGGAGTACGATGACCTACTGGTGACTGAAAAAACGCAAACTACAATGGTACGGCCACGTAACAATGAAACAAGGGCTTGCCAAAGAAATATTGCAGAGCACCACAAGAGGAGGGAGAAGAAGAGGAAGACAAAGAAAAAGATGGGAGGATAACATCAAAGAGTGGACATGACTAACACTTGGCGATGCTGTACGTAGTGCAGAAGACAGAGACAAATGGAGGAGGATAGTTCACATGTCATTTGTGGCGCCCCAACGGTCCAAGGACTAAGGGACATGATGATGATATTTTGATTTATAATACTAATAATAAAACCAAATTTTGGTACAAATAGTTATGTACGGTACCTTATACCGGTAATTTATAATTATGATACACTAGCAAAGTACCCACACTTTTCCCGGTGTGATCCCGTTCACTGTGGGATCCTATTTTCTTGTTGCTCTGGATCCAGGGGGAATCAAGATCCCTTTGGGATCCCGATCCCCATGGTGTCTTGATCCCTGTGGGCTACCGATCCCGTTAGGATACCGTTCTCAGTGGGATCCCGTTTCACCTAGGGACTCTTTTATCTCTTTTCCTGATAGGATCCTGATCCCGTTTTGATCCCTTTACCCGATGGGATCTGGATGGTATCCTGTTCCCCGATGGGATCGCTTAACCGATCGGTCCAATAAGAATCTTGTTTCGCTATGGGATCATGCTCAGTGCGATTTTGTTCGAGTAAGCTTTTGGATCTAATTATATATCCCCGTAGAAAAATAAAGAAAATTCTAGATTTAATTTAATATCCTCCATTAAACGTGTAAAAAACACTTTTTAAAGTATTTATTTCTCAAAAGCGAAATATAATACAACTAAATTGTACGACTACAACTATAGTACATTTAAATTGATATAGGCTATTATAGGGGCCCCGGTGGGGGCCAATTGAATAAAGTACCATTTTATATCTGAGATGGGGCCCTATAAAGATCATTGCGATAAATTATAGATTTAAAATGTGTCCTATTAACATTGGTTTAAAGATGCCATAGATATAGCTATCGAAGTTTCTAGAAAAATCTAGATCGGCCCTAAATGGATATTATTAGTTTTAAATCCACCGATATTTCAATACAGACAAAGAAGGGTATTGCTAGGCCTATGTCCATCAATTCACAAAGAAACTATAGTGTTGTCTAAGCCTATTGATATTTATGTAGCTTATATAAGGAAAAATGAAATGGGGCCCCCGGCCCCAGTGGAATGAATATTAATATATGAGTTCAGTACACTTGGGTATTTGAGTATGGCAAATCAAGAGTATGTTTACTAAGTTTGGTCAAGATCCATCTATTCATGTAGGAGTACTAAGCCTATTGATATTTATATGGCTTATATAAGAAATAATTAAACTGGGCCCCGGCCCCAAAGCAATGGATATTCTGAGTTCAATAACCTTCGGGTTTTTAATATGGATAATAAAGTATGTATGTACTAGGTTTGGTCAAGATCCATCCATGTGTTAAGTACCCTTCAGTATTTGAATAAGGATAATCAAATGTATGTATATTAAGTTTGGTCGAGATACATCTATTCATGTAGCAGTATGTGTTGATCATTTTATTTGTATAGCTCATATAAAAAAGGACATTTCGGGCCCCCGGCCCCAAATGGTATATAGTTTTGAAATGAAACGTGCTTAACTTTTTAAGTAAGCTGAAAGGAATAAGCCTGCCAAATTTCAGGTTTCTATCTACAGGGGAATTTGGAGAATTGGTGAGGAGTCAGTGAGTGAAGGCTTTGCCTTTTATTAGTATAGATTAGTAAAAAAAAAAACGAATTCGGGGCCCCTGGCTGTGACCGTTCCGGGCAGAGCTTTGAAATGAAACCTGCATAACTTTTGTAAGTACACTGTAAGGAATACGCCTGCCAAATTTCAGGCTTCTATCTACATGGGAAGATGTAGAATATAGCTTATAAAAGAAAAAAAATGGATATAGGCCCCCAGCCCCAGAGGAATAGATATTATGAGTTCAGTACCCTTCGGTATTTGAGTATGGATAACAAAGTGTATGTGTATTAATTTTGGTGCAGATCCATCATTTCTTGTAGGAGTATTAGCCTATTGATATTTATATAGCTTATATAAATAAAAATGAAATGGGGCCCCCGGCCCCAGAGGGATGGATATTATGAGTTCAGTATCCTTCGGTATTTGAATAGAAATAATAAAATTTATGTGTTCTAAGTTTGGTCAAAATCCATCCATTCGTGTAGGAGTATTTGTTGTTAATTTTTTAAATAAAATTTATATAGGAAAAAACGACATTTTATGCCCCGGCCCCAAAAGAAATGTTATAAAAAGTTCATAACCCCATAAGAGGTTCTTCTGGATAATGATGGATATATGTGCCAAGTTCGGTCAAGATCCATCAATCCATGTAAAAGCATTTATGGAACAAACACGCCCGCCACAAACATTCACTTATATATATATATATATATATATATATATATATATATATATATATATATATATATATAGATAGATATATATATATATATATATATATATATATATACTAGCCAAGATACCCGGCGTTGCACCGGGTTGCATTAGGTTCCCGATCCCGGTAAGACCCCAATCCCATTCTCACCACGATCCCGGTGCAATCCCTTTTTCTTGTGGCTACGATTCCAGGGGAATCCAGATCCCGTCGTTATCTTTATCCCAGTGAAATCCCGATGTCAGTGGATCCTGATGGAATACCGATCTCCTAGAAAGTTTTCTGCGGGCGCCCATGTTACCAGGTATTTGAATATGGATTATCATGTGTAAGTGTGTTAAGTTTGGTTGAGATCCATCTATCCTTGTAGTGTAGGAGTTATTATTGTTAATATTATTTATATAGCTAAACTAATAAAAGGAAAAACAATTCTGGGCCACCAGTTTTGACCGTTCCAGGTAGAGCTTCGCAATGAAATATCCTTAACTTTTGTAAGTAAGCTATACTATAAGAAATAAGCCTTGAAAATTTCAGACCTCTATCTACACGGGAAGTTGGAGAATATAACTTATATAATAAAAAATGAAATCGGGCCCACGGCCCCAGAGGTATGGGTATTAATAGTATTATGAATTCACTACCCTTCGGTATTTGAATATGGATAATCAAATGGATGTATATTAAGTTTTGACGAGATCCATCTTTTCATGTAGCAGTATTTGTTGATCATTTTATTTATATAGATCATGTATAAAAAAGGGACATTTAGGGCCCCCGGCCCCAAACAGTATATAGTTTTGAAATGAAACGTGCTTAACTTTTGAAAGTAAGCTTTAAGGAATAAACCTGCCAAATTTCAGGCTTCTATCTACAGTGGAAGTTGGAGAATTAGTGATGAGTCAGTGAGTGAGGGCTTTGCCTTTTATTAGTAACTAGCAAAATACCCGCTCATCTAGCGGAGAGCCTTTTTTAAAGAAATTAAGAGAGAGAAGGAGGACGGTAATTAAGGAGAGATAATTGCCTAATAACTTTTAATTTGCTTTTAATTATCTCCCTTTGTTGTATAACGTGCTTTTAATGACGATCTACTACCTTTTCTTGTGAGATTTTTTTTTAATACCCCCCATCAGGGCCGTCTTAAGAACATAGGGGCCTGGGGCACAACAATGCACTGGGACCCCCAGCAACACAACACTACAGGGTCGTTCGAGGGGGGGGGGGCGAAGTGGGGCACCCACCCATGCTCAAACAGTGGGGGGAGGGGGGCGCAAACAGTTCTTGCTCCCAACTCACCAAGAGGAATAACATTGTAAAATAATAAAAACATTCAATAAAGTTTTAAAAAAAGGTTTGTTCAACTTATTTATCCCCCAAAAAATTCATTCCAGTGCAATAATGGTTTTAAAACTTTATCAGAAATACATTATAATTCATCCCAGATGATGATAAATTATCAGGTTCTCCATTTTATTACTTAGTCTTTCTGCCTCACGACACGTTTTTTTATTTTCCTGATCAGTGTCAGCTGATACAGAGTCCAGATCATCTTGTTTTGTTTTTATTTTTTTTCGAAACGTTGACGGCATTCAAAATGTGCCGACCATCCTGTATCAGAAAGATGCTTTACGACAACGAGAGATTTTCCAAATGAAGATACCAGAAAATTCCATCGATGTGTAGAAGCTGAGAAAAGGGTATATGGGCGCTGAAGAAAGTCACAAAATTTTCCGACTTGTAGTTGTAGACAACACTCTGCTGCTTTTAAGCCCACTAAGTTCAGGCTGTGTCCAGCACAAGGGACATACACGGCCAACTCGTGCTTGCAATCCAGTGTAGCGTCCAGACATATAAATTTTAAGTTTTGTCATACGATTGACCACGGCAAATTGAGTGCAGAATTTCGTTCTCATTCTGGAAATCCAAAACATTGTCTGCTAGATCCTTTGATGCACAACAGCATCTGTTAGATCCCTTTCTCCGTGGGAAAATATGGTAATTAACTTGATAAAACGTTCCACAGACTTACATCCTCGAATGTACCGGAGCGTAACTGTCAGTTGATCAATGTGTGAAATGTCTGAAGTGGAATCATAACTTATTGAATAATACTTTGACTCTTTAATTTCTTCCAGAATAGCCAAAGGTCATGTTGCCCCATTAGATCAATAAATTTGTTCTCAAATATTTGCCGACAG